ATAAATCATTTCACATTTTGGACGTTTACAGCTATTGTTTTATAGGATTAGAAGGTGTCTCATTTTCACATGAGAGGTCAAATCAAAGTGCTCATTCACTTTGGATCTTGGACCAGAAGCCTGGTTTAGCCAATTGTCTTTCCACTGATGGCACTGCCATGGGGGCCGCCTTCATAGGTACAACGGCCAAGGTGAACACCTAGGGAGCAGCCCAGGAGTTTAGGGGTGCTCCTGCCTCCACCCCCAAATCTACTTTACTGCCTTTCCCTGGTGGCATTTGGGAGGTCCATCTGGAGATGGATAACCACTTGTCCTTGAGAAATGGAGGCCCTTTGCTCTCCCAGAAGAAAGGGCAGAGGAGACTGACATGGTTACCTCTCCTGCTTCTTCCTTTCGTGTCCTGCACCTGCTGACTAACCTGCAATGGGAACCTGCCGTATGTGCAATTCAGTGGCGAAGGAAAAGAACCCCGGCTAGACACTGTGGGTGCCGCGTGCTGATGTAACCCAGCTCTCAGAGCTCTCAACCGGCCGGGCAAACCCTTGAGCCTTCCTTCCTATTCCCTGTGCTGTCCTCACTGGGAGAAGTAATTCAACCTGCAACTTAAGCAAAGGCTGTGGGAGGCCCCTGAGCTCAGCCAGAAAGAAAAAGGGGGTAATTTTGCTTCTAGAGGAAGAAAACTCATTTTCCCAATGCACCTCCGCCCCCTCCCCCTGTGCCGATGAGCTTAATTTTCTTCCCCTCCTAATGAAGATGGATCCAAGCCAAGCTGGATATTCAAGGGGGAGCCAGGCAGGGGAATGAGCGAGGGAATGAGGGGGCAGAAACAGCTTCTCTTGTGGAGAGGAAGTAATTAATTTTAAGAGAGAGCAGAGATAGGGAAGCCCTTGGTGATAGAATGTCAAACTCCAAATGCACATGGATAAAAATTAAATGAGAACATGGCGAGTTTCTTTTGTTCATTCACTGGCTCATTCATTCAGCAGATGCTGGGTTCCTGCTGTGCATGGGCAGACGCCTCAGGAGCGCACCAGGAGAGGGTCCCGTTCTTCCTGCCCATAGCAGGGCGCAGGTAGCTGGTGGGAGGGTGTGGCATCTGGAAGCCAAAGCCTCTTGTCATTAGGACAAAGCATTTGCAAACATACCACTCAATGCCTGAGTATATTGGCCTTTGGAGTTTAGGATTCGTTGCTTAAATATCAGCAGCTGAGGCCTCAGCTCTATCTGACCAGCTCGTTCCATCATGGGTTAAATAATAATGTTGTCCATTTGCGTTTCTGGTTGCTGATTGCATTGTCCTCTGACTGAGTTCTACCCTCAGTCCAAAAATTAGATTAGCCCCTCCCTTTCAGTGTCTGTTGTGACATCACAGAATTGCCATAACAACGGACTATGATGTCAATAGAATGCCTGGTGCTGCTAAAAGGAACTATGTTGGTCAAAAAGGATTCTATCACCCGAAGACCAAAATGGAATGATCTGGAAAGCCAGAGGAACTGGAAATTGGTATCAGAAGGGACATCTCGGCAGTATAAGACAACAGTGGGTCTGGAGCCTTCTTTGTGAGAACCCTTTACGAACAAGCAAGGCACTTAAGGAGACTGACTGGAGAGCCAGCGGGCGTGCCTGGAGGCGGGGGATGGAGGAGATGACCTTCAGCGCCCTTGCAGCCCGAGGGCCCTAAGCCCTGGAGGATGCCTGGAGAAGGGGAAGCTTGACCATCTGCGGTGTGGAGAGTTCAGGGAGTGAACGACAGTGCAGCTCCCCTTGCCCTTGAGCAGATCTGATGGTGCCAGCTGGAGTCCCTCGTATCGCAGCTGGAAGATTTTCAGAAATGAACACACAGTGACCCCCCCGAGCCCCTTCGCCGCCCTCTTCCTCACGAGCTTTGGAAAGAAGCTTTCCTGCCGTTTCTCCTGAGCAAAGAAGCTGGTTCTTGCCACCGGCTCTGGCTCCCCAGCCCAGCGCCCGGCTCCACGTGCTCCTCTGCTGGACCACCCCAAGCCGAGAGCAAGTGCGCTGGCGCTGTGTCCAAAGGGAGCGCGCGGGGGACTTGGCAAAGCTTCGCTCATTCTGCTCCTGTCCAGACAGAAGAAGGCTGGGCAGGCTGGGCGAGGAGAGAGGAGACAGATCCACCTCAGCGTCCGGGCAGCAGTAGCACACGGAGCTCCCTTTAACCCCTGCGCCCACAGCATCGGAGCGTCTGGGCTGGGAGTCGCAGGCGGGGAGGACTGCCTTCCCCCAGGTCGGCTGGCTGAGCTGCTGCTGTGCAGACGGGCATGCCAGCCCCAGACTCCTCCGCCTGCCCAGCTGCTCTGTGTCCTTAGCTCAGTGAGGTCGGACGACCTGGAAGGTGTACACCTGCCCCATATGTCTGTCTCCGTCTCAGCATGTCCTCCTGGGGGACTTGGACTGGGAGGGGTCACCCCGCTCGCTTTACTCTGCCGGGAGCACTCTGATGGGCTGGATGCTGGGGAGCCACCGGCCCCGTAGAGCACCTGGGCACCCTTCCCACCACCTGGGGAGAGCCCGCCCCCTTCCCTCGTGCTAGAGCCGGGAGGGAGGGGGGACCAGCAGCGTCTGGAGCTCGGCCAGGGACCGAAGGACTTACTGCTCAGAGGATGGTAGGAGCAGGGTGGCTGGGAGGTCCTCCGAGGCTGCCGAACGGGGACAGAGCTGCCAAAACGATGTTGAAGTTTCGGGCCGATCGCCGGGTCAGGTAGGGATTTCTTCAGCGGACATAAGCCCAGCGCAGCGAGAGCAGGCGGAGTTGGCGGCTCCTTGGCCCCCGGGCTTCAGAGTGTGGGGTCTGCCGACCCGCCCTGGAGGCGGGAGACGTTAGGTCCGTGGCTGCTGCATTGCAGTGCTTGTCAAGGGGAAGCTGTGCTGGAACTGGCGGTGCGGCTGGAGAGAGGACGTCATTTGTAGGGGTTGCTGGGTAGAGCGTCTGGGGCAGGGAGGAATTGGCGGTGCCCTGAAAACAGTGCCAGCTGACAGCAGACTGCGTGTGTGCGTGTGTGTGTGTGTGTGTGTGTGTGTGTGTGTGTGTGTGTGTGTGTGTACTGGTGCCTGCAGGGAAGGTGTCAGCAGAGTTAGCACAGGAGTGTGTAAAGCACAGGGGACTGGGGCAGGGACAGGTGCCCTGTGTCACATGGGGAAAGCAGAGACCTTGGCACCTGAAGGACCTTTGTTGTCAGACCGCCCGCCCCCTGGGCCCGGGGGGGCAGAGCCAGGGATGAGGGTGACTGAAAACAGCCACCCATCCTTGGGAAGGTCCCCTGTGGGTAAGTTGAGGAGAGCGTCCTGGTTGCACCTGGCAGGGAGGAAGGAAGAGAGTTTGAGAAGCGGGAGCAGGTGGTCAATATACTCGTGTTAGAACCCGGGCCAGGTGGACGCTGGCCGGACAGGGTCCTGGCCAGCAAGCCCAGGCCGCAAAACCCAGCTTTTCCCCTAGGCCAGCGGCTCTCAACCTGTGGGTCGCGACCCCTTTGGCGGTCCAACGACCCTTTCACAGGGGTCGCCTAAGACCATCCTGCATATCAGATATTTACATTACAATTCATAACAGTAGCAACATGACAGTTATGAAGTAGCAACGAAAATAATTTTATGGTTGGGGGTCACCAAAACATGAGGAACTGTATTTAAAGGGCCAGAGGGTTGAGAACCACTGCCCTAGGCCATCACCACTGCCCCGCAGTGCTTCCATCCACTACATGCCTTTGAATTTTATCTCAACATGGCTGGTTTGGAAGCCGAAAAAATACCCTTTGATATTATCTTTGGCTTCAACAGGCAGCCCAGGGGCTGGGATGTGTCCCGGGGCTACTGAAAGGGTCTCCACAAGGTTCTTTTACTTCTCTCCTGCAGCTGAAGGGGCCAGGCTCAAGTCTTTCCCATGGCACTAGCTGACCAGCTGGCCCTCCGCTGTGGGGGTGCTAGTGTGGCCGGTGTGAGGACCCACAGCCTCGGTACAACCTCAGCAGGCTCTGTCCTGGTTGTGTCTCCCCAGGGCTGGGTGAGGAGGACTCGGCACCCTCCCAGCCCTCACTGGCTGCATGCTTGAGTCTCCTACAACTCTCTTGCCAGGTGGTCTCCTGTGTGGCGAATCCATCTCAAATGGCTGCCAGCTGTGGCTCAGACCCTCTGTACCAGCTCCCTCCACATTCATCTCCTCCCCCACCTCCCCAAAGAGCCACCAGGGAACGGACTGGCCTGGCATTCAGTCGGCTGGGAGGCACCGCAGGACTTGCCAAAGGAGCCTCCACAATATTGTCCCCCATCTGCCTCTGCACAGACCCCGCCCTGGCCCATGCCCCCTGCTTCCTGCAGGCTGTCCTCACAGCACCCCACTTCTGGGCCACACATCCCTCCATTAGATCTGACTGCTGAGCCAGCACTTAACCTGACTGTGGGACACGCCTGAGGTCTCAGCGATACCCAGTGGCACTTAGCCTGGGAGACCCTGGGCTGAGTGTGTGTGGGATGGGGAGGGGGGGCGGGTCCCAGCCCAAGCTCAGGAACGGAGTTTCTGTGCCTCTCATTTCTCCTAAGAGATGGAACTCAGAGCAGCAGGGGAAGGAGTCCAAGGTCATGGGAGGATTCTCTCAGCAGAAATGAGTGAGCAGTTTTTATGTGGAGCACTGGCAGGCCTTGTCTCTGGGAGGGGACATAGCACACGTAAAATCTTGGCTGTTGGAGTTCCCTGCCCACCCCATATCTGCCCAGGGCGACCACAGGTTACGTGGGGCTCATTTCCAGCCCCAGGGGTCTCCAGTAAGTAGTGAACAGTGACCAGTGAAAGGTGTCTTCCCCCAACCTGACTGCGCTGCTCTCTCCACAGCCCGGCGTTCTGTTTGCTTCCATCTCACCCGCCTCAGGATCCCACTGGAGGGCAGAGGGACGAGCTCCCACGTGGTCGCCATCCCTCTCCCTTTCATCCTTTGCGGTGTTTCCACTTTCTTCGTCTTGACCACGATTTCTCTCTTTTGCCTCCACAGCCACAATGAAAGACGGAACACATTTCTACACCCAGTGACTGGCCAGGTCCCGGAAGAAAACAAAAAATTTGACTTGAAAACGTAGGTTTGCCCCACTCCCTGCCTGTTCTTTCCATCGTTATCCACCTCCCTCCACACTTTGCAGCTGGGAAGGAGAGCAAAGGGATTTAGGGCCATGCCCCTCAGTTCTGAGGATGGACGCTGCTGAGACCCTCTGGCTTGACACCCTCGTCCACTTTTCCCGAAATGTAGCAGGTCCCAGGTTGGTGTCTCTCACAGGCTGAGCTAGAGGAGCGAGACAGGCCTGAGTTGGTTGGGCACATCACCCAGGGGCCTCTGAGGGGAGTTGTGAGGGAATCAGATACGACCATGGGAGCCAAATGCTAATTCCACTGGCTCTGCATCTTGGCTCAGTGAGGGAAAGAAGAAAGATAATTAAGTGACTCTCATAGTGCGCTGGGCTATTGTGTCTTTTAAATGAAAAGGGAAAGGAATTCCAGAGTCCTAGGGTTGAGGTTTTCTCAATAAGCTCACAGGAAAGAAAGAGCAGACGCCCGGGATTACTGGCAGACCGTCTCAGAAGAGCTGAGGGAGCAGCTGGGATGACCTCTTGATCGCACTTAGGGATCTGATTTTGTGCTGATGTTGGTACAGGGGGTGGCAGGGTGGGACAGGGATGGAGGTTTCCATTGTTTCTGGGTTCTGAATAGTCTCTTTCTTCTCTTTGGGTCAACTTGAAATCAGATCGGCCTTGGACATGTCCAATAAAGCAGGTGGGAAACGCCCGGCTACCACCAACAGTGACGTTTCCAACCACAACATGGTGTCGGAGGTCCCCCCAGAGCGGCCCAGCGTCCGGGTGAGTCCAGCCTCCAAGGAAGGCTGTCCGTCCAGAATCCTAGGAAGCGCATTAGCCTGTCCAGCTCTGTCCACAGGCCCAATGAGGGTGCTCAGGCCAGAACCTCACAGAAAACCAGCATCTACACCAGCGCCTCTCCACCGCGGCGCCATTAGCATTTTGTGTTGGATAATGCTTTGCAGTGTGGGATTATTCCTTATAGGATGTTGAGCAGCATCCTTGGCCTCTACCCACTAGAGGCCAGTAGCCCTCACCATGTGACAACCAAAAATGTCTCTGGACATTGTCACGTGACCCCTGTGGAACAAAGCTGCCCACCCTCATTGAGAACCACTGATAGCTCATGAAGGACATGGCAGTTGAGAGCTCAGAAAGGGAGGAGGAAGGAAGCGGGTCTCCGGAGGAAGAAGTAATCCAGAGGAAAATGTTGCAGAGAGGTCAATGTCATGAGATCTTACTTGGGTGAAAACACCCATGGGGCGTAGCAACACTATGGTAACTGGACACCTCACCAGGGAAGTTCCAGAGGTGCGACGAGGGTGGAAGACAAACCAGGGAGGGCTGAAGAGGAAGGGGGTGGGGAGGTGGAAAAACACTGCAGAGTAGACACTGTTCTTCTAAGAAACTAGACAATCAGTGTGGTCTAGTCATGCAATGGAGTACTCTCCAAAAATTCAACGGCCTATATGTGTATGTGTTAATAAGGATAAATCTTGAAAATGTAATGTTGAGTAAAAAGCAAGTTGTAGAATATGAAAAATATATCATTTATGTAAAATATACAAACATGAAAAACAATACTACATTTTTACAGATAAATATGCAGGGAACACATATAACCACGGACAGGCAGACTAATTTTGGGTCAATGGTTGCCTCTGGGGAGGAAGAAAAGGTAGTGAAGTTTGGAAGGGGCTCAAAGGGAGTTCCGGCTCTATTTGTCATGTTTTATTAGAGAAAAACAACATGTAGTGGTGCTTTATTCCTTACTTTTCTAAAATGTTTGAAATATGTTTAAAAAACCTTTTTTTAAAAATATATTTTTATTGATTTCAGAGAGGAAGGGAGAGGGAGAGAGAGATAGAAACATCAATGATGAGAGAGAATCACCGATCAGCTGCCTCCTGGAGGCCCCCTACTAGGGATCAAGCCTACAACCGGGGCATGTGCGCTTGACTGGAATTGAACCTGGGACCCTTCAGTCCGTAGGCCGAAGCTCTATCCACTGAGCCAAACCAGCCAGGGCTTAAAAAACCTTTTAAGGAAACTTGACTCTTAAGGGAAATGAGGGGCAGAGGGTGATATGCAAGGTGGAAGTAGGTTTTCTTCGTTCATTTTGGTTTGTTTCAAGGTGTTAGAAGCAGGAGTGGAATGACCCAGTGGATAGGTTCAGGAGAAAGCGGAAGCCGGGGAGTCAGGACTCAGATGCAGAGGGGCTGTTAGCCTGGATAGGGAAGGGCTGTTGTTCCTGAGATGGCATTGACAAGGTATTTGAAGTTGGGGTTGCGGGGGGCAGTTCTAGGAAGTTAAAGGCATTCCCACCTGATGTCCTCAACTTTTGCTGGGAAGTAGGAGGTAGGGTTTTCTGCTGAGAGGAGCTGGGTGGGTGGAAAAGTATTGGGGGATTTGAGAATATGCCCAAGGTTTGGAGAACAGGACAGTGGTCAACAAGGGACATATGAAATATTATCTGTAGTGTTAAAAGGTCATCGGAGGTCATAGACTCAATCCGTATGGCTCCACTCCCCAGGTGTGTGGCTTTCCTCCAGTGATGCTCATAGCCTGGCTATGGAAGCAGGGAAGGCAGGTGGTTTGGTTGACCTAAGGCTGAGGGTTGCTGGGAAGCAGTGGTAGAAAGACAAGGAGGCTAGAGTACTGAGGGGTTGGCAGGAGAACAGCTGGAGTGGGGAGCTTTGGGGAGCAGTGTCTAGGCTGCTGAATGGAGGTGAAACCATGACTGATGATGGACGGAGAGGAAAGGGAAGATTTGGGGACTTGCCTATTCTTAGATTTCTTCACATGGCCAATCTCAGCCTTCTATGTAGGATCTTACTGGAAAAGTAAGATAATCTTATTTGAAAAATAATCTTATTTCCCAGTTTGGGGAGTACCTTATAATAAAGCCCACTTTCTTCTTTCCTTCCTTCTGTAAGTACTTAGCAATGCTTCTTATAGCTGCTAGGCTCTGGCAATAAAGAGATAAGCAAAAGTTCCTCCCTGTAAAGAGCTCACAGTCTCATGAAGGAGACGGAAGGCCAACAGTTCCACTGCAGGGTGGAAAGTTCTAGACTCTAAGAGTGAGGGGAGAGGAGGAGCAGCTAGCTGCTCTTGGCCAGTGGTTGGCAAACTCTTTAGTCAACAGAGCCAAATATCAACAGTACAACGATTGAAATTTCTTTTGAGAGCCAAACTTTTTAAACTTAAACTATATAGGTAGGTACATTGTTATTAACTTAGTTAGGGTACTCCTAAGGCTTAGGGAGAGCCACACTCAAGGGGCCAAAGAGCCGCATGTGGCTTGTGAGCCGCAGTTTGCCGACCACGGCTCTGGGGGATCGGGATGTTCTGTGCAGTGGGGGGTCTGCAGTGGGCTTTAAAGAATGAGTTTGGACTTGTAGGTAAGGGAGATGGGGCTCCCCCCCCCCCCCCCCGCCATGGAAGAGCAAGTGAGCAAAGGCATGGGGGTGGGAGAGAAGCACAGGAGTTCGGCCCGGCAGGGGGCAGGGCTGCCTGCTAGCGTGGCAGAGGTGGGCTATGGGCCCTGCCTGGTTTTACAGACCTGGCCCTCAGCCCTGGGCTGATGAACTTGCATTCCCTTCTAAGCGATGAGTGGTGGTGAGAGATTTTCAGAGAGCGACATGATGATGCTGTGTTTTTAGAAAGATCCCCTTCGTTCATGGCAGAGAGATGACAATCTGTGAGGCAACAAGTGAGATTTGAGAACTTTAAGGAAGATGGACTCCTTCGCCCTGCATAGGTGATTGTAGAAAGGAGCGGAGGGAGAGTGCGAGGTGGTTCAGAGCTCCGGTCTGGGCAACGGGGCGGGCTGTACCATTCACCAAGAGAAATCCTGAAGGACAGTTTGGCTAGAAAGAGGGTGAGTTTGGTTTTGTACTTTTCTTACTGCCGTTTGGACCACCAGCTGCCAAATGAACCGGGGCTAGGAGAGAGGTCTTAGATGTACATTAGGGGATTGTCAGCTTATTGCTGGTGGATGACATTATACGGGCACAATGTATAAGGATAGGGAAAGAGGTGGGGGAGGGGGAGGAGTGCATGAGAGGAGAAGTCAGGGCTCTTCCCAGTAGCCTGTCCCTGAAGGGAAAGAGGGAAGGGAGGGAAGGTGTTACCTGACAGGTGTAGGGATGAGGGGGCAGGTGTAAGTAGGGGTGGGGTGGAGAGAGAGAAACAGACAGACAGACAGATGGTTTAAGAAGAGATACCTGAGTGTGTTTGCTGAGGAGAAGGAGCCAGGGGAGAAGGAAAAGTTGAAGACAGGTTTGAGAGCTTATGGATGGGGCAGAGTCTCAGAGGAGATGGTGGGTCAGACGTGTGAGCCTTAGAAAGGAGAACAACAACTCCTCCTCCTCCTCCTCCTCCTCCTCCTTCTTTCTTCTTCTTCTGACGACATTGGAGGATAAGAGACAGGTAGGGTAAGTGCAGTAATTTTCTGAGTAAAATGGTGTGAAATTGAGGAAGTGTGTGTCTGATAACCTCAGTTTTCTCTGTGGAGGAGGATCCAGGTCCACCGTGGGGAGCGCAGAGGGGAGTCGCAGGACTTGGGAAAACGGTGGGGGTACAGAATGGAGATGGCATCTGGGGCTGGGCCCAGCTTGCTGGGGACCGTGGGTCTGTGTGGCCTCATCTGTATTGCAGTATGATTTTCAATAGCAGCACCATAGTCTGGCTGAGTGCAGGGAGGGTGGGTACTTTGATTAATCTGGGATTTTGAGTTTTAGAGAGGAGTGAGCAGAAAGACAGCAGATGGGGTGTTTCAGAGGGCAGTTGATTTACTCTACTGCGGGGCCTAGGCTTTATAAGGAAAGGACTACAACCAGGAGGTGGCTGATGGATCCAGGAAAAAAGGGAAGAATTGAAGAGCTGGGGGTCCCAGTGCAGTAGGAAAGCTTGTGTAGCCGAGTAACAGAGTGAGAAAGCCCAAAGGGTGGAATGACTTGTCAGAAAATGAGAATGTTAGAACTGAAGATGTTAGCCGTGAAGGGACTGAGGTGCTAGCCAGGCCTAAGGAGTAGCCATGAGAGTCCATTGCTGGGGTGGCGGTGGAGGGTTTGGGAGGTGAGGACATCAAGGTTGAATAAAGCTAAGGCATTGGGTGGGTCATCCTGGAGAACAGTGCCACTGTGATGGCAAGACTGAATGAAGAGGATGACCAACTGGGAAAGATGCTCTGGAAGCCAATGGTGGTGAGAAGGACTAAACGGTGGGAGATCCGTGGTGCTTCAGGAGAGAGAGCTAATGCCAGGGTGTGGGAGAAGGCTGGTATCCACGTGGCAGTGAGGAGCTGGAACACTCGTGTCAGTGTTCCCAGCTGGGTTCCCAGTGGTACCCCAGCTCTATTGGACATTGAGAATGAACAGGACGCTGAGAGGATGGTGGTACAGGCGAGGTACTTACAGCTGATGGGCTCCAGAAAGCACGATGAAAGGTAGGGAGTAAGGACAGTAGCAGAAGGGTAGGCCAGGAGTGAAATGAAAAACCTTACTTTCTCCCCCAGAAAACCCCAAAAGGCCCACCGCTGTCAGACAGGCAGGATTATTATTTGAGCCCGATTTTGGAAATAAGAAAAGAAGTCAGACTTAAGCGGCTATGCTCTTGAGTTAGTAACATATCCATGATTCACACGTGGGCTTCCCAGCATGAGGGCACCCCGGGCTACCCCAGAGCAGTATAACCCAGAGAGGCACCGCTGCTCCCCTGGCCGGTGGAACGGGCAGCAGGAGAGGTAAGAAGCCAGGCCAGCTTCTCTCTCTGCCTCCCCAGGCCACCCGGACATCCCGCAAGGCCATCGCCTTTGGCAAGCGCTCCCACTCCATGAAGCGGAACCTCAACACACCTGTCACCAAGGCGGGCTGGCTCTTCAAACAGGTGAGGCCCCTCTGCCTCCCGCCCCCATGCCCCTTGTAGCACTGTAATGCCTCCGTGCTTACCATCGTCCGTGTCTGTTCTGGTATGTCCTCCCTTGCTCATTTGGTGTATTTCTGTGAATAAGTCTTCTAATGTTATGAAAGCTCAGAGAGGTCAAGTATCTTCCCAAAATCACACAGAAAAATTTCTGTCATATTTGGGAATCCAGCTAGGTCTCCTGGTGGGCAGATACAATGATTTTGAAATGTGCTAGGCCACCCGCCCTGTTGGAGCAACCTACTGGCTCCCCCTCAGCTGGTCCTCTTGCTATGGCAGGGATGGTGGTGGTGGTGTCTCCTTTAAGTCTAGGTCCAGCAATTCTCCCCATTGTCCTTGCCACTGTCCCTGCCTGCCCTCTGCTCACTCATTCTGGCTCATTTCTTGCCCTTTTTATCTTTGGGGTGGGGGGTGGGGGGAAGCCCTGAGGCCCAAGATGACAGAACTGAAGGTCACAGGCAATGACCCATGTCAGGTGCCTGCATCTGGGGTCTCAAGGGGGTTGCTGCTACTTGTTAGTGGCCGAGCTGCAACCAGAGGCGGGATATCCTTCAAGTTAGTGCAGGGCCCCTTCTATGACCTCCACTCATCCCATGCCCAGCTCACAGCCCCTCTGTCTGTCTCTCTCCACGTGCTCCGCAGGCCAGCTCCGGGGTCAAGCAGTGGAACAAGCGCTGGTTCGTCCTGGTGGATCGCTGCCTCTTCTACTATAAAGGTGAGCTTGCCCCAGGCCTGAGGGACGAGTGCCCACCACTCCTCCCATCTGCCAGACCACTACCAGCGGTCCCCTACTGGCTGGAGCGTGTATGCTCATCTTCCTCCTCTCCCGTGGAATGCACGACCCGGTCCACGAAGGCAGCGGGTTTTGTCCATTGTGTTCAGTGCAGGCACTTAGCAGGTGCCCCATCAATGTGGAGTAGACGAATACGCCAGCTTCTGCCCTCTTTGTCCACCCAACACTCGCTCCCGACCCTCTCCAAAGCAGAGGAGGGCAAAGATCTGACGACATTGGTGCAGCAACCTCGAGGAAGGCGTTTTTAAAATGACACAGCAACACTGTCTCAGGGAGAGCACAGAGGGAGCAAGCAGGGTGGTGACGGCGGTGGTCCTGTCGCCCTGACGCAGGGCACTGGGTAGAGAAGGGGAAACGTCTTTGCAGCAGAAGGGACTGTTCCCTTTTCCTATGCGCCCCTCCACGCCCCTCCACGCCCCTCCACGCCCGGGGAGCGGCAGAGCCTAGATTTCCCTGGGCTTTCCTGGGACAACTCTGTGAATCATTAACTTTGGCAAACAAAGGCTGTACCCAGTGACACACACCCCTCCCCAGTGCTGCTATTCTTGTGCCCTGAGCTGCTGCCACCTGAACTCTGAGGAGAGATCAGGAAGGGGCTGCATATACAGGTCCAGTCACAGAGGAAACCCCAAGATTGGGGCAGAGGAATCTGCCCAGGCTGGGCCTCCAGGATAGAGTGTGAACAAAGTTGCGGGAAGCCAGGATCTCCTCAGAGGAGAGACTCTGGGCCCGGCATGAGAGAAGAACCTTAAAAATCTGTGCATGTCAGAGGGCACTGCTCTGGGGGTCACTATCCACTGAGGTGCTCTCAGGAGACCCCCTAAATGCAGACCTAGGCAGTACCAGGCAGAGCTGTCTCCTCCAGGGGCGGACAGCCTCTGCTTTCCTGGTCTCCAGGCCTGGCCCCTCCTGCTCCTTCGGCTTAGCCCTGCTCTGGGTACCACGCTGAGGTCTGCACAGGAAGCTGGATGCTAGGCCAAGTATCTTGTGCAAGTGAGGAGTGAGAGGAAAGAGAACTAGTGGAGTTTATAAGCCCGAAGAGATTTCTTCTGAACTCTCTGGGGGGTACATCTCCAGCCCAGGGCATAAGGAGCTATTCTGGGCGAGTGGGGAGTGTCTTGCCATGGCCTCATGGCTGCTCCCATCCTGTCCCACAGAACACTCTGCCCTCTGGGCCTCCTGCCGACAGCTGGGTGCCCGACTGGCTAATCCATCAGGCTCCTCTGGAGATCCAGGATGAATTATGTAACAGCCTGATCCAGGGACCAGAGGACCAGAAGGCCATGCGGGGGCAGGTGTTCCCTGAGACAGAGATGTAAAGGGGTGTGCGTCCGCGTCAGGAGAGGACAAAGCAAGCTGCTGGGTGCCGGGAAGAACCTTAGAAAGAGTTACCCAGAGGAGCCAGAACCACAGAGGGCACCATCCACGCTCCCACGCCCCATCCCATGATCCTGCTGTGTGTGGCTGCTGGAACAGTCTTTAGTTGGGCAGGCACTGTGCACGGTGGAGTGGTTAAGAATGACGGCTTGGGGGTCAGACTCCGGGGGTTCAAAGACCAGCCCTCCACTTTCTACTTAAGTCACCTTGGACAAATTACTTAACTTCTCTGCGTCTCAGAAAACGGGGATCATAGCAGTCCCTGTCCATAGGATTGTGGAGAGGATTCAATGCATGAAGGCTTTTCACTTAGTTTCTGATGTAGAACAATGAGCTCTAATTGGTTTGCCTGCTTGTGTACTAGAATGCCAGCTCCCCGAGGGTGGGACTGCTTCCCTGTCATTCACCTGTAGCCACGCCCAGAGCATGTCCACAGCCAGCACACGCCCCAGTGCCCCGATCCAAGAGCATGCCTCTTGGTGGTGTGGGGTGCAGACCACAGCCTGCGTGCTGGTGTGTGTGGCCTGGCGTGCCTACCGTAGATGAGCAACAAATGTGTGTTGCAGTTTATCATAACAGGGCTGACATGCTCCTGTCTCCGCCCCTGCACACGCATGCACACACACACACACACATGCACGCACACACACACGCACGCACACGCACACCTCACCTGCCTCTGTTTCCTGACAGATGAGAAGGAGGAGAGCATCCTGGGCAGCATCCCCCTCCTGAGTTTCCGGGTGGCCGCCGTGCAGCCCTCGGACAACATCAGCCGGAAACACACCTTTAAGGTCAGTTGGTGGGAAATTCCTCTCCCAGGTCAGATGGGGGGTGGGGGGCTGTTCTCCTAGAGCACAGGGGGATGGAGAAGGGTGAAGAGCCACCTTCCGAGGAGTCGGAGTTGTAGCGGAGGGAGCGAGTGGACAGTGCCCTGGACTCCATGCGGGCCGTCCTGAGGCTAAGCAGAGGCCATGCGGGACCCGTCCTCTTTCCCGGGGGTTGGGTGGGTGACCTCCCCAGGGCAGGCCGGTAGAGACGTGCTTCAGTGGTACCCCAGTTTTTTCCTGGGAGGAGGGAGGAGCGTATCAGCTCTATTAGGGTAAATATCGATAAATGTCGCCAGTTATTTCCTGAGCCTGGGGGCCCTCTGCCCAGTGGCCAGGCACCTCGCAGTGAGGCAGGAGATGGGCCGGAGGGGGGCTGAGGTGCTTACTGGAAAGTCTTCCTCCCCACCTTGGGCCCAGGAAACTAGATCTACAACAAACTTACTCGAGTTTCCGTCTTTAGAGGAAATTAGGGGCTGAGTTTCATTACAATCAAGAGAAGCAAACCTCATGTAGACAATTGGAGAGAGCAAGTGTGCTCAGCTGCCCGCTCAGCACGCTCCCCCGAGGCCCGTGGGGATCCGCCCCTCAGAGGCTGCAGCTGGCTCATCCCAGGCAGGGTTTTTCCACATTTAGAAACGCACGACCTTTTAAACATGATTTTTGTGTTTTATGATGAAAAGGCTCTAGGTTCCTTTTCCTTTTCCAAATATGAAATTCCGGTGCTGCCCATGCATTTTCTCAGCACCAAGCCCGCTCTCCCAATGGAGAGTCGCTGCCCAAGGCCCTGCAGACCTAAAGCCGTGCTGGCAGGGATGGGGCCTGCAGGTCACCCCAGGTCAGGGTCCGAGCCTCAGAGGCCGCCCCTTCCTGTCCCTCCCACTCCTACCACTGACCACTGAGAGGTGCAGGGCAGCACACACAGGTGCTGCTCGGGGAACGAGGAGGGGCCCATAATTAGTTTCCAGCCTCCCGGGGTCCTGTCTGCCAGAGGTGTGAACAGAATGAACAATTAATAAAACTCGGGCTCCAGGGAGCCGGTTCTAGCTGTGGAAATAGGAACAGGCTGTTTAACCAACAGCAGACGCACACACCCACACAGGCAGACAGCCTGTCAGCCTCCCTCCAGACCTGTGCGTAGACACATGCTCGGAGCTCAGCCGGCCTCGGATGAACATGATGGCTAACACCCCCACCACAAACCCCAGATCTCACTGCTGTGCCATCACCACGCTCCTCCCTCCCCGTCCCCCAAGGAGTTCGTTTCTCTTTAAACCAATCGGGGAGCAGTGCTCAGTGGCCACAAAGGGGTGGCTATTCAGAGGCCCCTCCCAGGGAAGGGAGGGCTGCTGACACAGATGGAGGCTTGTCCTGCTGTGGCCACCAAGCGAAACTCTTGGGGTGGCTGCTAATGAGCCTGAATGTCCCTGCCCAACCCACTGCTGAAAGCGGGACCTCTTCCTGCCCCGGCCCCAGGGGGGCTTGGTAGACTTCACCCCACTGGGCCACCTCCCTCCATTCTCTCATCCCCTTTCCTGGTTCCAGGCGAGTGTTCCTCCCACTGCCCTTCAGTCGCCCTGCCTTTCCTAGGCCCGCTGCCCGCCTCCCTGTCGCCAGCAGCTGTTCCCTGGCCCTTGCTCCCTCCTTGTTTCCCTGGGGGCACGTCCTGTCCTCCAGCTTGACCTTGACTCTTCAAGTGCAAAGAGCATGCCTTTGCCTTCCCTGCACCTGGTGTCCGAGGGTCACAAGATGCTGAGCGTTTAGCTCACTTGCTGCCCACTCTTACCAGCCCCAGGACACACCCAGGGTCCCGCCCGTGTCTCTCCTCTGTGGCAACCCTATGTTCTCCACCTCAGAGGGCTTGCATCGGGCCTGATCGCCAAGTCCTTGTGTAGTTTCAACCCCCAGACACCTCCTCACAGCTTCGCTGGCTTTTCCTCGGCACCTCCCTGCGTCTGCCGATGTGCTGGCCCCTGCTGAGGGTGGGGACTGGCAGGGTCCAGGGGAAGGAGGACCAGCCCTGCCCTCACTGGGTACAGAGGATGTGCCCTCACTGGGGAAGGGCTCCTGCCAGAAGGGCATCCTGTCCAAGGGGCAGGGGGCCGTGGTGGAGTGCAGGTCCGGCCAGAAGAGCATTTGGAGGGTGTGGATTTGACATTGCTGCTCAGGAGAGCCCTGGCGCTTGGTCAGAGGAGCCCTGTCTTCTCTCCTTTCAACACCCAGAGCGCCCAAGGGGTCAGAGGGCAACGTGAGGTTCCCATCGGAGACTTAATCATGTCTGGATCTCATGCAGGGTGGGATAAACGTGCTTTTCCTGGGAGACCTGGGTGTCACCCTGGGGGGTATGCCGAGGTCCCACAAGGAATCTAGCCTGGAGCTTCTTGTCCTTGGGCCCAAGAATCTCGAGTTTCACCAATTTCCCCCCCCCCCCCCCCCCATTCCACAGCCCAGAGCTGGTCAGGGACAGAGGGAGGGTTAGTGCTGGGAATCCCTGACCTCACCCCGCCAGCCAGGATTCCCTGGTGCAAGCTCTGCACTCCCCCTCCTGGCGGGCTGAGCTGGGTGCTGTTGTCCCGATGGTGACACGGAGCAGGAGGGGATCGTTTGAATAGCCTCCACTTCCGTCCCCTCCCAACCTTCCTGCCACGCGGTGTCTGTCTCTCCCTCTGGTGTTTGGTTGACCTGTTCTCTACTCTCCTCCTCCCGACTGCGTGAGGACCCTGCTCTGGACAGGAGCTTCCTTCTGGGTTCCCGCCTGCCGCACCTGCTCGTGGCCGCCGACTAGGTAGCGTGCTCTGCCTGTGTGCATGCCCCCTGCATGCCCGGAGAGGGCCAGGCCGTCTCTGCATGGACGAGACAGAGCTGGCTTCTCAGAGACCCAGGGGTCTCTCCCAGACTTCGGCTAATTGCCCTTCAAATCAAAGATAGAATTTGATGGGAGAGCGGGCACGGTAATTGTCCCTCCTGCTGCTAATCACCCCAGGTGGGGCAGGTAAGCTTACCTGGGCTGCCCCGTGGTGTCCAGAGAGCTAGCCAGGCAGACACCTGGGCACCAGCTGGGGCGCTTGGGATACCTGTGGGCCACCCTCCTCACCTTGCCCCCGAGCTCCATGTGGGGAAAAGAGCCGCAGGTCCTGGGAGCGGCCTTCCTGACCACCTGTTCTGTGGGGATGGGTGTCTTCTCCCTACAGGTGACTGTGTGCTGGGTGGACGAGGCCGGGGCCAGTTCCACGCACTGCCTCTCCCCACAGGCCGAGCACGCGGGGGTCCGCACCTACTTCTTCAGCGCCGAGAGCCCCGAGGAGCAGGAGGCCTGGATCCAGGCCATGGGGGAGGCTGCCCGGGTACAGATCCCCCCAGCCCAGAAGTCCGTGCCCCAAGCTGTGCGTCTCAAGTGAGTGCGCGGCTCCTGGGCCTGGGGCGGGGGGAGGGGGGGGAGATAGAGAAAGGAAGAGACAGGGAAGGGCCCGCTCAATGCCATCGCTGAACCCAGTGTGCTGGCGGAAGCACAGAGCAGGGTGCCGGGCGAGGCCATCTCAGAGCCGGCCGTCTGTTCCCCTGGCCGGCTCTGCCTCTGCTCTCTGAGCTGGTGGAGGCCAAGAGAGAGCCAGGTTCCGGGGGGGCCTGGCCAGGAGCCAAAGGCCAGGGTCACGTGCTGCTTTCCTGGGCTGCGCAGGTGAGGGGCACAGTCTTAAGGAAGGTAGACTCCGGTTCGAATCCCAGCTTGGTCGCTTACACACAGTGTGGCCGCAGAGTAAGTGACTGCACCTCTGTGGACCCGAGCTTCCTTTCCTCAGAGGCAGCAATTATAAGCCTACCTCTTAGGCCGTTGTGAGGACTAAGCAGTATGCAAAATGCTGGTATGTCGTGAGCACTCAGGACATGGCTGTGCCCATCTCATCCCCAGCCACAGTCTAGGCGCCTGCCTCTCCTCGAGCTGGTGTTGAGTCAGATGCTAACGGGGACCCAGAAGGAGGTGTCACAGTGTAGACCCCAAGTCTATGCGCGTGTCTTAGAAATGTTTACCAAGCAACGTCTCAACACCAACGCTTGGATGTGTTGAATTTGAGAAACTGTAGGGAGAACATTGTCATGAGATTCCACCTTGGCTCCACCCACGGGGTGTACTTCTGGTGGTTCCCTCATCACTTCATAAAAATCTACTATGAATAGCAATGTGCAAGGCGCTCAGTCGGGCACCAGGAAAACGAGGGAGCAAAATTCTGACGAGTTCCTGCCTTGTGGAGCTTTCATTCTAACAAGAAGTCAGTCCTGGGAGAAGCTTGCTTTTGGGAAGGGAACTAGCATGTCTCCATGCTGTGCAGTTTGAGGCAACAGCTTCTGCCCGCTGCCTCCCCTGTGTGGCCCCACAGGGCGCCTGAAGGGGGAGGCAGGTGCTGAAGGGAGTGGAGTGGCCCGCGGGAGACCTGGAGGGCAGAAAGAGAGGCCCAGGCAGATCAGATGACTTTTTCTAATCATTGGGCAACAGAATTGTAATATATTAAATTCTGCTCCCGTTGCTACCTTCCTGCCCATCCTTCTCCACTCCCTTCCTCCCTCCCAGTGTACCACCCCACACCCAACTCCGTGCTGGGCTGGAATCTCTTACGCCATCTCCCTTGGCACCCTGCAGCCATGAGAAGCCAGACTCGGAGAACACCCCACCCAGCCAACACCACCACCAGCCGCCTCACAACAGCTTCCCCAACCCCGAGCCGGAGGCCAAGACTCGAGGGGAGGGCGATGGCCGGGGCTGCGAGAAGGCGGAGAGGAGGCCGGAGAGGCCCGACATCCAGAGCGAGCCTCTGGTGAAAGCCAATGGCATCCAAGCTGGGCCGGAACCAGCCTCAGAGCCAGGCAGCCCTTACCCGGGGGGCCCCAGGGTCCCCGGGGGCGGGGAGCGGCCCCCCCAGCCCAACGGCTGGCAGTACGGCTCCCCAAGCCGGCCAGGGAGCACAGCTTTCCCGCCCCAGGACTCAGAGAGTGGGGGACGCCGGCCGAGCTTCCCCCCACATGCCAACCCCGACAAGATTGCCCAGCGCAAGAGCTCCATGAGCCAGCTCCAGCAGTGGGTGAACCTGCGTCGGGGGGTGCCTCCCCCCGAAGACCTTCGGAGGTGAGGCCTGCGGAGGGGCAGGGGTGGAGCTGGGGTGCTGGTGCCACAAGGGCGGGGGCTGGGGGAGCAACAGGGGAGGCACCCCTGTTGGAAACCTTCTGGCAGCCAAGAAAGCCCCAGGGTCCCTGCTTGCCCAAGTCCTTTGTTGCCCTCGTGGCTCCCTCGGCCGGATTTTGCTCTCTATCTGCTTCCTTTGGAGGAAGGGACAGAGCACCCAGTGTCTCTCCACAAGGTGTGGGGGGCCCAGGAAGCAGGCAGGCAGCTTGGGAGGGTCCCTAAAGTTGTCCCAGTCAGACTTCTGTCCCCAGGCTTCTGGCCCTCCCACCACATCCTGTGTTCCAGTGTCTCTACCAGCAGGAGACCCATGGTCAGCCACCGCGCCAGCCCATCCCCGAGCAGCTCTGACTGTGTGAAAGCCAATATTTATGGGCCGTTTTTCAAAAGAGAAAAGAAACAAAGTGTTGCCACTCATTGACCCCAGTTCTGCCCTCTGTACCAACCGACTCTTTTATCGAGGGACTGGCTTTCAAACGGGGAGGTTCTCATTGGGCCCTGGGGGCCAGGCAGCTCGGGCAGTGTGGGCAGGGGCAGTGTCCTAGCAGCTCTGAGGGCTGCTCCCTGCTGGTGGTCTGGCGCCTGGCCGCCGGCCCTGCCCGAGAGCGAGCGCCTCCCTTGGCCCAGGTCCCATCAGAGCAGGGGAGCCGCTCTAGTTCCTCTGTGGCCGCCTCCGGGTGCCTGGGGCACTCGCTCTCTTCTGTGTGGGACAGGATCTGATAAATTGATTCACGGAGATAGAGATGGCTAATAAGGCTTAAAGTTTCTCCCCAGGGGTATTGCATTTTAAGAGACAGAGATGGAAGCTCGGGGAGCTGGTTGAGGGAGGAGCTCTGAGGACGGGGTCTTCCCTGAACCTCTGGACACAAACCTGGTGCCCGGGGTGCTCACAAGGCCAGCCCGAGGCACCCCTCACGCGATCACACCCCACTCCAGGCTGGAGGGCTCAGGAATGCGGCTGGGTGAGGCCCTGCCCACTGTGTCCACGTCTGACACTGTCCTCTCTCTCAGTCCCTCAAGGTTCTACCCTGTGTCCCGCAGGGGCCCTGAGTATTGTGGCCCCTACTCCTCCCCGTTCCCCGACGATTACCAGTACTACCCGCCGGGCGTGCGGCCGGACAGCATCTGCTCCATGCCCGCCTACGACCGCATCAGCCCGCCCTGGGCCCTGGAGGACAAGCGCCACTCCTTCCGCAACGGCTGCTACGGGCGGCAGGACGGCACCGTCTGGATCCCCAGCCCCTCTCGGCAGCCCGTCTATTACGATGAGCTGGACGCCGCCTCTGGCTCCCTGCGCCGCCTGTCCTTGCAGCCCCGGTCCCACTCTGTGCCCCGCTCGCCCAGCCAAGGCTCCTACAGTCGCACCCGCATCTACTCCCCCGTCCGCTCGCCCAGCGCCCGTTTTGAGCGGCTGCCGCCTCGCAGTGAGGACATCTACGTGGACCCCACCGCCTATGTGATGAGACGATCCATCAGCTCGCCCAAGGTGAGCCACCAGCCTGCCCCTCCCTCCTCACCCCTCTGGGGTCCCCCAGAAGCCCGAAACCATCTGCTGAGAAGAGGTGGCCATACGGGAGCATCTGGGACATGGGGACCCTGGGCTGTGTATTGACAGGGCCAGCAATGTGCCCAGGGAGCCCCTCGCCCTGTGGTTCCGTCCCCAGGAGAGCTGCCCTGGGGGACGTGCTTTGCCCCCTACGTAGGAACGTTGCTGTCTGTGCCCGTGGCCAGATTATGCCAAGAACCCTCGTTCTCTATAAGAGAGTGGAAAGGGCTCTGGTGTTCAGATCTGCAGGACTGAACAGGTCATTTTCAGGATCTCGCACTGGAGCAAGGCTGTCCATTTGAGTTTGGAATCTGCTCTGGGACAGGATATACATTAACCTTGAACTTCAGTTGGTGGGGAAGTCCACATCCAAGCCGGACCCTCTCACCTCTCCAATTCCCTTTCTCTTCCAGTATGATTACCTGGGAGACAGGCGGCCAGTCCCTGCAGGACTGTACCCCTACAACTACCCACCACCCCCCACGGTTCACGATAAGATGGTACGTCCTCTCCTCCCCCACACTCCCCTCAGGACTGCTCCTCCCTCCCGGGAGGGCTCTGTGCCCCCTGCCTGGCCCGTGTGGTTGTTAGTAGCCTCTGGGTACCTCCTTCCCCCCAGCCAGGACTCTGACCCCAGGAGAGTTTGGTGCCAGTTGCCCTTCCCTGTGACACGGGGCAGAGACGCAAGGACAGATCTGGAACGTTGTGATGTCCTGAGCCTCTGGCCTCAGAGCAACCCTGCAGCTCGTCCGGGGGGCCTGGACAGGGGCTCAGATTGCCGGCCGGGAAGCCATTCGGGCTAGAACTCCCAGCAGGCTTGGCCTCACACCCCTCCCCCCACAAGTGCACCTGCTTCTATTTGTCCTGGCCTGGAATGCCGCTCTGGGGAAGGAGGCTGGCTGGGCTGGGGGAGAAGAGATGTCCCATATCGTTTCCTCGTTCCTCTCCCTCTACTGTGTCTTTTCCTAAGAAGTTTTGTCTCCACCTGGAGAACTAGAGCTGAGGGGCGGCCGAACCGTCATCTCCCCAGGCCTGTTGCTATCCCCTTCCCTGCACAGCACCTGGAGGCCAGGGTGGAGGAGGCCGGGCAGGGAGGGCTGCACTTCCGTACCCTCTCCTCCTCTGCCAGCGTCCAAACCCCAGCCTTACCCACGTAAATGCGCCCACCCAGAAACAGCAGATTCCCCAGGAAACTGTGCAACATCTGCTGGAGGTGCTGACCAGACCAGTGGCTCCTCCTCACCTGGGAGGGCCCGACGACCAGGGAGCCCCAAGGGGCCCCGTGTCTCCATGGCTGGCTTGGGCAGTCCAGCAGGCAGCTCCCGCGCCTGCCCACATCCTCGCCCCACCCCTCCCCAGGACTCCACGGCAGAGAGGCCTCTGTCCTTGCCCGGCTAACTCTTAACTGCTTTGCTTCCTTTTTATTGTTTTCTTTTGTCCTGTTCCTGTTTGTTTGTGTTGCCGTTGGGCCTCGGGTTCCGGGTAGGATGAACTTTTAGACCTTCAGTTGCAAAGAAACCTAGAGTATTTGGATCAGCAGGTAGGCAGAGCTGGTGCCCCCTCGCCACCCCCGCTCCTTCCCGCCTCCTCCCCGCCTGCTCATCTTCCATCCATCTGACAGCCTTTGTTGGCACAACCAGGACACAACAAAGTGGCCTATATTTTGGTTTGCGCCTTCACACCCCTTCCCTTCCGAGCTTTTTAGGGCAGCTGGGAGTTTCCCGGGGAAGGAGAATATAAATGGCCCCATGAATAATGAATGCCACCTCCTGTTTGTTCAGCCAGATGGGACTGCCCCCCAGGGGAAGGCGGGAATTTGCATCTTTGCTGGAGAGAGTAGCACAGATGAGATGCTTGGGCCTAACATGCCAGGGTTTAGTTCAGCGGGAATCTGGGAAATGACCCTGTTAGACTCTGCAGTTTGTAAACAGGATGAACTCAATGATAAATTGATTCACGGAGATAGAGATGGCGAATAAGGCTTAAAGGATGACAGACTTGTCCTAGGATGGTTCAAAAAACCCTATCGATTCAGTATATTTGTTAGTTCACATACATCACAGCGTATGGTGGACAGAGGGAGTCGTTTCAACCCAGTTTCACAGATGAGCGTCCTGAAGAGGCAGAGATTGTTCCCACGGGATGGAAGCCATGGGCTGCCTGGGCCGGGCTCCTGGGCTCTCTGCCCATTGGCTACCTGGCTTTGTAGGCTCAGGGGGCGGTGACACTCACAGCCAGGGGTCAGCACGCCGGGCATTTCTCTGAGCACATCCTCCCGTGCTGGGATCTGTGCTACAAATCACGGGAGGCAGCCTGGGGCGGTGGGGAACATCATATGGTAGTAATAGCAACAACAGTGGCCGCAGCGACCAGAATTGGGTGCTTCCTCTGTGCTCCGTGCTATTCTAAGCACTTCACAGAGCCTAACTCATTTAATCTTGATGGAAACCCTGCAAGGGGGGTGCTATGATGATCCCCTTTTACAACTGGTAAAACTAAAGCTCAGAGAGGCTAGAAAGTGGGCTGAGGACACACAGCTGGTGCATGGCAGAGAGTGGAATAGGAGTCTGAGCTTTGACCTGGTTTATAGCTGCGGAAACATCTAGTAAATGAAGAAGCTGGGGTCATACCTCATCGGGATGGTTTTGTGCGCTCGGAGCTGTTGAAAGAAGCAGAAGCATGGCATCAGAGGCGATAACCATGGCTGTGGATGGGTCTAGTCACAGCACGTGACAGGCACCTCACTGGGCCTCATGTCTTCGTCACTCTTCCTCGCAGAAGGCCTTGGGCACGGGAAGCGCTGACACCTGCATGCCCATCAGCAGGGAGGGCTCCCAGCCCGCAAGGACCTTGCAGTTAGTGCCAGAAAGCAGCACTGTGTTGCCCAGTCCCTGAGGGTGTCCGGTCCGTGGATAACCGGGAGGCCAAGCCTGAGCAGGCCTGGAAGCCCTGACCCCCAGCCCCAGAGCTGGGTCTGCTGTGCCCTGGGCCCTGGGCAGGCTCTCCTCCCTGCGGCCCGTCCACGGTGCCTGGCTGTCGGGTTATTAAGTGCAGACAGCAGTGCCTCTACTGGGGCCTCTGTTCCCCCAGAGGGGCGGGGCTTCAGAAATAACCTTTTGGAGTTGTCCTCCTCAATAAACAGATATCCTAGATATTCTTGAGAGGCGGTTTGACATGATAAGCCTCCCGAACACAGAGTCAGACGCTGCACTTTAGTTCCAGCTCTGCCATTTACAAGGATTTTGCTTTGTTGTTGTTTTTTTACCTTGAAAATGTCTCTAGTCTCTCTGGGCCTTTGTTTTCTCCATTATAAAACAGTCATCATAGAACTTGCCCTCCCTGCCTCCAGAGGTATCGGGGGAATCGAGTAAGAATGCGTTTGAGAGCGCGTTATCAGGCATTGGCAATAAGTGGTCATTGCTGCTCTGGTTATTTTATTGTTCTTTTTCTTCTAAAACTCAATTTCAAATATTTCTGAGCGCCCTTATTATGTATAAGGCACTGGGCTAGGTGCTGTCTCAGTCAGAGGATGGTACCCAGGAGTCTAGAGAGACAGAGGATGGTACCCAGGAGTCTAGAGAGACAGAGGATGGTACCCAGGAGTCTTCCTAGAGACAGGCCCCACCTGGGCTGAAAGAGCTCGAGTCACACCAGGGTGGGTACAGGCCTGGGTGGGGCCAGTCCTGCTTCTCCTTTCTTCTCCAGGTCCGCTGGCTGGTGGGAGGGGGCGGGGGAGGGGGGGGACGGGGATGAGACCAGTGTGCATCCAGGAAGGGCCTGGCCTCCCTGCCCTCTCACAGCCGATGTATTGGTAGATCTGCCTTGTCTTCCATCCACACATCCACACGCCATCCACACATCACACACAGGACGCAGGCATGACACACAGGTAGCAGATGTCAACATTCACCCATGTGCACACCCCATGCACAGTAAATACAATCTCTCTCTCTCTCTCTCTCTCTCTCTCTCTCTCTCTCTCTCTCTCTCTCTCTCACACACACACACACACACACACACACACACAGGCTCCAAGAAGGCAAGGATCAACTCTAGTTCAGATCCTACAGTGTGGTTGATGTCCTGTTGACTTACCTATTTCACAAAGACTCAGCCTCATGTTATAATCGCTCTTTTGAAAGTCTTTTAAGTGACATTTTATGCCATAGAAGAAAATTTCCAATTAGGCTAATGAGGCAGGAAAATCAGATTCTCAGAAAGCCTTTTAAAATGCTGCAGGACCTGCAAATGGGTGGGCGGGTGCCCCTCACCATCCACGGCACACGGAAGCAAGGCCGAATCTGGACTGCCACCCAAATGGTGCAAGGAAGACACACGTGGGTCCAATAACGATTGGCAAGACAGGGGCCGAAATGGGGGGCCTCCTGAACTGAGAACCCAGAAGATCTGCCCTAAAGTGGCCCTATCCCTTCCCTCACTTCTCCCTAAAAAGCTTTTCCTGTGCTCCTCCTCTCTGCTGCCTACTCCTGCAGATGAATTAAGTTAAAGGGACATAGCCAAGGACGCTCCCTAATATGTTCACTTTTTGGTGCCATCACCCTGGAACCAGTGGGGGAAAGGATGGCATTTCTGGTTGTTATGTTTGGCTCGTCCCCTCTCTTTCCCTCCATCCCTCCCTCACCTTTCTTTCTTTTTCATTTGCCAAATAGTCTCCCCCCCGCCCTCCATGTTCCCAATGATGCTTGAAACGTAAGATAACGTGTTGGGAGAGCAGTGTTCCAATATCCGGTGTCCCTTTAACATGGCTTGCTTGTTTTGGCCTCCTTATTTGCTCCCTAGCGTCATCCAAGATCGGCATGGATGCTACCAGCCCAGCTCTGGAAACCATGTTTAGCAATCCTTTCTACTCTAGAGCCAAGAGGTGGGCAGGGGTTGGGGCGAGAGACCTGTGCCTAGGTGTTTGGGAGGCCCATCCAGAGACAGCTGTTCCTCTCCAGTTGTTTCATTCAGTTCAGATTGTGGGAGACTGGCCTTTGCCGCTGCCTGTGTGGTCCTTGACCAAAGCAGTGTGCGACATGAGAGCTGGGGCAAGGAGATGACCGACTTGACCAATGTGGGCGAGACCCATCGTCCTCAGGAACCCTGGGGAAGCGTCATTGGGCTGGGACATCTCAGAGCTGTGAGCAAGGGCGCAGGGACCTCCCAGCTCCCTTCTGTGGCCTTTCCTCAGGGCAGCTTCAGGGCTGGTCCTGAGATGGAGTTCACAGAGGAAGAGTGATGGGTGAGGCCAAATAGAGGCCAACGAGAGGGTGCTGGAGCCCCCAAGAGGACCCGCCCTGTTCTGTGTCCCGGCAGGCGAGCACAGGAGGGTGTGGGGGAGGCGTCTCTCTGTGAGTCTGAGTTTGAATCGTCCGTTCCTTCCTCTGCTGCAGATGAGTGAGAGTGAGACTCTGATCAGTATGGTGAACCGCATGGTGGAGAGCTCCTCCCCCAGGGCCCAGCTCTTCATGCAAGTAAGACCTCTGCTGGCAGCATGAGCCCTGTCAACGCCATGTCAGCTGCTTGTGCATGGTCCAGTCCACCCACCTGGGATGGGGCTTGCTCCGCCCAGCCCACTCACCTGCCAGGCCTCATCTCCCAGGCTCAGCCCGGTCTCCCTCCTTTAATGCCACTGTGTTTCCTTCATTCTTCATGTTCATGGATAAACCCAAGGCCCATTTCCCAAACCATCAAAATAGCACCAACATCTCATGCCTGCCAGGGATCACAGATCTGCTTTGTTAATGTCCAGGGCTTCTATTTTATATTTGGTATCTTCTCCTCAGACATTACTGGGGATGAGGGCATGGGTGTGTGACAGGGAACCATCCCAGGCCAACGGTGTGAAAAGGGTGCTGTGGTTACTGGATGCGTCATGGAGGGCAGGGAGCATGTCCTGGACCCAGAGACACTTCTGTGTGTGTATCAGTCCTGGTTCAGGCACCAGCCCTGTGACTGGTGTTCAATCCGCTAGGTCAACAGTCTCAAGTATTTCCGATGCTCATTTCGTTCTCCCGTGTCTGATCCTCAAACACAGCTGAAGGGTAACTGTTATTCTGGTTGTTACCCACAAGCCCTCTGGGAGCTACACACCCTTGGAGTCCCTCTCAGCAGTAGCTTTGGGAAGAGGAGACAGCAAGAGCTGAGCAGTGCCTCTGCTTCTAGAATGGGCCTAGGACCATTGGGATGGAGCCTAGACCAGGCCGCCCCAGGCTTCCCAGCCAGGGCACAGAGAGTTAGCTCAGCTCAGGGGCCCAGGTGGAAGCTACCAGAGGTGGTGTCTGATGGTCTCTGGCAAAAATGGAGCAAGGGTTGTTGCTTTCCCACCTCCGCATGCCCTCTGTGCCCTGCTGCAGTAACCGGCCTCCTGTTCCCGCAGGTCCCTCCGTACCCAGAAGTGTTCCGGGACAGCGCCCACACCTACAAGTTAAATGAGCAGGATACAGACGTAAGAGCAGCGCTCCTGCTCCCTCTGTCCACTCCACCCCTCCTGCTGCTCTTCTCGTCCTCCAGCTCCTCCATCCATCTCTCTCCTCGCGGCTCTTCACACATGCGATTCATGTTCTCTCTCACTGCAAAGACAACATTCTTCCTGTGCCTCCCCCCCGCCCTTCTTTTCCCATTCTCCCCCCTCCCCCTGCCTCCCACTCTGGCTGTGTGTTTCCCCCTGAGCCCCAGGCCCCGTGTCTCCAGCCGTGGGATCTGCTTCCTGCAGAAACTCAGACTTTGCTAGGAGGTCAGTCGTAGTCCCTAGGTAACTGGAAAGAAGAATATGGCTGTGCCCCAGCCCTCCGGGAGCTTCAGGGTAGCGGCAGACACCAGGTGCCAGTAGGTGGCAGCAGATGATTCATATACGAACAGCCCGAAAACAGGTTCTGCAGGAGTGAGACCATGTGGGCTGGTAGGTCAGGGTCAAAACAGGTGGCATGTGAGCTGGCCTTGAGCTAAAAGGCCCAGAGGCATGATCTGGTTCCGGGGGAAGGAGCTGCAGGGGTATGTGAGGAATGGCATGAGGAGAGCTGTGCACGTAGGAAAGCACAGGTCTTTCCGGAAGAAAGTGTGGCCTCACCTGCTTTCTCTCCACCTCCACTGGCTTGTCTGGGGAGCAGATCTGCCCAGCACGCCTGGGAGAGGTTCCATTCAGGCGAGGACCAGCCCTCTGAGGGACCCCAGCGTCAGCCATCCGAGACCCTGGCGAGGGGAGGGGAGAATAGGCGTTGTGGACCGTGGAGCCAGTTTACATTGTTTACTGGGTTTCAGAGAGAGTTGTCCAAACACCCTACCTACCCCTTGAGTCCATATCACCGAGGAGGCCTGGAGGGCCAGGCCACGTTCTCGCCCCAGCCCTCATGAGTTGGAAGACCTGGGAGGATGGGAATGTAGGAGCCTCACGTTTGGCGTTCAGCCCTCTCTTCTCTCAAGCTGACTCACTTCCTTAGAGAATAAACACACCTCCCCTCCCAGTGGGTTCCTAGGGAATCTCCCAAGGTAAAGACCACCTTCCTGTTCCCAGGAGTTTCCCAAGTCAAGGTGAAAGGCTAGGCTTCTCTGCAGGGGAAAGGAGGCGGTATCCAGAGGTCGGGCCCCGCCAACCCCAGTCTCAGGTCCCCATCAAATCGTGTCCTTCACCCCCTTCTCTCTCCCTTCCTGCCCCCCACTCCCTCGGGACCCCAGAAGTTGCTGGGCAAATTGTGTGAGCAGAACAAGGTGGTGAGGGAGCAGGACCGGCTGGTGCAGCAGCTCCGAGCTGAGAAGGTGAGAACCAAGGGGTGGCCTTGAGTGGGGTTAGGTGGTGGGGGAGAGCTGGGGGAGGTGTGGGCTGCCATCTCCATCTTGACTAAGCTGAGAGCTTCGCCCTCCATGAACTGCTGTCCTGCCCTTACTCTCCTGGGCAGCCTCAGGCAGGGTGAGGACAACCTCCACCAATCAGCCTGGTTGGGCCTCTAGGGCTCCGGCCTGGGTAGCTAACAGCCCAAAAGAGGGGAGCTCAGGGCCATTCACAGCCCCCTCCCTACCCCACCTTTCCTCAGGAGAGCCTGGAAAGTGCCTTGATGGGGACCCACCAGGAGCTGGAGATGTTCGGGAGCCAGCCCGCCTACCCAGAGAAGCTGCTGCACAAGAAAGAGTCCCTGCAGAACCAGCTCATCAACATCCGGGTGGAGCTGTCTCAGGCAACCACGGTAGGTAACCATGGAAACCAGAGCAGGTCTGCACCTGCCAGGAGAGCCTCCCCTTCCCCCACTCCCCGGCAGGGCTCCCCAAATCCCAGTTCTCCCCAGAGGGCCAGAGCAGGGTGCTCCTGGGGAGGGACACAAACAAAAACTAGAGCTCTGCTGTGCAAAGAGACAGCCGGTAAGCCAGGCTGTTCGCCCCAGTCTCCATGGAACTGGCGAACTTTCCACCAACTATACCTGCCCCAGGATGGTGTGCAGTCAAGGCCACTTATTTCCCCGGCTGCTCTGTCTTTTCCCCTGGAGAACCCAGACCCTGGCAGCAATGCTGCTGCCTGGTCATCCTGGGCAGCAGCAAAAGCCCCCAGACAGCATGGCACAGAGAGGAGAGCAAACCTCCAGAGGCACAGCGCTTCCCTCCGTCTCTTTTCCCTTTATCCTCCACTTTCCATGGCCCGATCTGGGAGAGCAGGAGGGTGACGGCGCGATGCTCCCCCCTCCGGCCTGTCCACATGTCCGGAGAGGATGCTATTTTCTCTTACTTTGGTTTGCAGCAGGGCGGGCTGTGGCACCTCTTGTAAGGCTGGTGCTTGGCTGTCATTCGCATGTCGCAGGCCTGTGGGCACTCCTCCCCACCCTCCCCAGATCTGCCGGCCTCCGGCCCCTGGCCCCGGCCCAGTTGCAGGATGAGGCATGCTAGGCGAGCTGCTTTCTCAGTAACCGCTGCTCCCCGTGCAGGCCCTGACCAACAGCACCACGGAGTACGAGAGCCTCGAGTCGGAGGTCTCTGCCCTGCACGACGACCTCTGGGAACAGCTCAACTTGGACATCCAGGTGACCAGGGCCCTGGGCAGGGGAGGGGGGAGCGGTCCACATGTGCTGTGGGTCTTCCCTTGTCCTTGTGGCCAAAAGAGACCAGAGTGGCTTCCTCTCCTGCTTTAGAGATTTCAGACTTCAGACAAGGGGTTGGTTTCTGAGACAAAAGACCAGGTTCAGGCCACTTCAAAGGGACTCTAAATTCCAGGATGAGGATAGCGTGGGGTTCTTCTTCAGTTCCATCCAATGACAGGGCATGAGCCAAGGAGAAGCAGAGGAGCGTGCTAGATGTCAGGTGTTGTATGACTGAAGGACTGAACAGACATAAATATCAATACACGATCGATATAAACCTCCCTCGGGACGTCAGAAAGGCAGGCAGTGCGGGCTACACTCAGGCATTTGGGTAGGAAGAAACCTCCTTTCAGGGACTTGTTAGAAGCCCTGTCTGGAGGCAGCGGCTGGACACGCTGACCGTGGGCATCTTGTTCTCTGCCTCCGTCTGTCTTTTCTCTGCTCAGCGCGCACCTCCGTGCCTCCTCTCTCGCTGGCGTTGCAAGCCCTGTTTCTCTGGTGCGGTTAAGCCCTGGTTTCCCTGGTTTTCCTCCTGCTTCCTCCTGCTAACAGAACTTACCACCCTAGCCTTGCAGCTCGTTAGGTGGAGCGAGGCAAAGGCCTGGTCCGAGGACGCAGGTGGTCGGTGGGCGCCTTTAGGAGGTGGGGGAGTGTGAGCAAGAGCACCAGCTCTGGAGCAAACAGACCCAGATTCAGGTGGTGGTCGCACAACTTACAGGTGGCCGGGCTGAGTCCCTTCTCCTCGGACGTGGGGACAGCTGCCGCCCTCGCCTCATAGAGCCGTGCGGCCAGAGCGGGTTAGTGTCTGCACAGCACTGAGCGCGGTGCCCGGGGTGGAGGTGCTAAATCAGAGGTGGCCATCACTTTTCAAAGAGTGGGTGCTGTCATCGAGTATAACCCATGAGCATTTAGGCATATGCTGGGGGTGGGCATTACAGAAGAGCTACCTGGAGCTGAAGAAAACCGGGAAACTGGAGCTCAGCCTGGAGAGTGGGCTGCCCTGGAATGTCCGCCTGCGGGGCCTCCACGCCAGGACCTGTCTCCCCCAGGGGCTCTGGGGGCGGGTCCCCACTCTCTTTTGGTTCCGAGTCCTCAGGTTGACCTAAGGGGGCTCTTTCCTCTGATGAGAGTCCTCTCCTTGGCATTCAGAACTGCGTTTCATAGAGGCTGAGGACACAGAGGCTGCCCGTGAGAACGGCGAATGTGCTGGAGGGTGTGTGTGAGTGTGTGTGTGTGTGTGTGTGTGTGTGTGTGTGTGTGTGTGTGTGTGTGTGTAGTGTGTTTACACTCCCTCGTGCACAGGGCTCCTGCCTGCTGCTGGTTTAAGGGAGGTGGGGAAAGGGCTGGAACACTCCTCAGCAGTCACTTCCTTTGACCTGCTCTGTGGCTGTTGCAGAACGAGGTGCTCAACCGGCAAATCCAGAAGGAGATCTGGAGGATCCAGGACGTGATGGAGGGGCTCAGGAAGAATAACCCGTCCCGGGGCACGGACACGGCCAAGCACAGAGGTGGGTCCCTCCCCTGCCAGCCTCGGGCCTCTGGCTTCACCGGGAACGCTCAGTGCCCTGGCTCCTCCCACACCTGCATGCTCACCCTCTAGGCCAGTGGTTCCCAACCTTCCTAATGCCGCGACCCTTTAATACAGTTCCTCATGTTGTGGTGACCGCCAATTTCATTGTTACAAATTGAACATAATTAAAGCATAGTGATGAATCACAAAAACAACATGTAATTATATATGTGTTTTCCGATGGTCTTAGGCGACACCTGTGAAAGGGTCGTTCGACCCCCAAAGGGGTCGCGACCTACAGGTTGAGAACCACTGCTCTAGGCCAAGCATGTCAAACTCGTGACCAGAGGGTTTAAATAAATGAGGCATGCGGCCTGCCAGCTGCAAGTTTGGCACGCTTGCTCTAGGCCCTCACTCTGTGCTCAGAACCAGCCACGGCCTCTCAGGGCTCCAAAGTCTTCCCCGGGGCCCCGGGGGTGGCGGGTGGGACACCCTTATCCTCCCCTCCCCAGAACAGACTTAGAGATGCTGTTGACCCTGATACCCAAGATTTTCTCCCCAGAAAAGGTCAAAGAGCAGCTGGGCGTCCCCGGCCCCGAAACCCCCGGGCCCCTGGGTGGTCTGAGGCCTCTACCTTAGTGTCCTCCTTCAGCCTTGGGACCTTGGGCCGGCTTGCTTTGACATCCTCTCCCCTGTGCCACAGCTCCCAGCCGTGACCCAGCCCATATAGAAGTCCCTCTGGCAGGCTCCGGGGACCCTCCCAAGTCCTTGAATCCTCCCTGCCCTCTCCACCTACATAGCCCATCCATACCCCAGGCCACACCCCTGCCCACCCTCATCTTCCTCCTCTTGTTTCCCCAAGGAGGCCTTGGCCCCTCGACCACCTACAGCTCCAACAGCCCTGCCAGCCCTCTCAGCTCCGCCAGCCTCACCAGCCCCCTGAGCCCCTTTTCCCTGGTGTCTGGCTCGCAGGGCTCCCCCACCAAGTCCGGGTCCAATGAGGTAAGCTGATGAAATGGAGTAGGCGGTGAGCGGGGGAGGGAGGACCAGGTGCTCATTTGCCTAAAACTACACAGATTCTGTGCCCCGTCCTCCCCAGAGGCCTGCAGTCCCAGTGCCTCTGCCTGCGGGGCCGTTCTCACCTCCAGTGTGTGATCTACCCTCCCATTTCTCTTGTGCCTGCTCTCGTCTTCACCGGTTTCCCTGGCCTCCTCCCGGAGCACCAGGACGGGGAGCAAAGATACTAAGCACTTGATCGGAATTTAAATCCAGGGGGTGACAGGGTGAGGTCTGGGGGACAGTTTCCTAGTCAGTTGATAAGCAAGTGTTTACAGGCTCTATGGCGGGAAAGGGTGGCAGGAAGCCCTGTCGGGGTACCCCTGCATGCCCACGGCCTCCACTCAGAGAGCCCAGCCCCCAGTGGGGACCGAGGCCGATAGACAGCAAACCAGCCTCAGGCACGTGGCGCTGCGTGTCTCAGTGCTGAACCACGTGGTTCAGACCGTAAATGCTACGCTGTTCCAGAGAGGATGGGACTGGAACTGGGCCTGAGGCGTTGGCACAGGTAGAGGAACAGGCCGTCGCAGGCAGAGGGGCTGGGGGAGCACAGGTACAGGGTGGGGAGGTGTCGGAGTGACGGTGAGGCAGTGAGGAGAGAACTTTGGAGAAGGGCTGGGGAGTGATGGGCGTGGTGCGCAGGTGGCTCAGGGAGGGGAGCTGGCTCTGCAGGCAGCCGTGTCCAGGCCACAGGTGGGAGTTTGGGTCCAGGGCCCCGGGTCTCCGCGGTGGCGTCTGCCTCTGCTAACGCTCTTTTCTCCTGCTCTCACAGCGCCTGCTCTTGCTCCTCCTAATGCTCTGGCTTCTCTCTGCCTCAGGAGCCCGGCCCACCGCGGCCCCCCCTCCCCAAAGCCTACGTGCCCCTGGAGTCTCCTCCCACCGTGCCTCCACTCCCTAGCGAGAGCCACTTCTGGCCATACCCCAACTCCCCTTCCTGGCACTGCAGTGGCGAGCCCGCCAGGGGCCAGGTACCCAGCACCCTTGGGTCCTGGAGGGCAGGGGCGGAGGGAACGGGACAGAAGGCCAGGCGAGGGGCAAGGTGGGGCAGGGAGTCACTTCTCCGTGCCAGTGTTCTCCCCCGCACTGAACTTCTGCTGGGCCCTCTGTCTGGTCAAACTCTGGGATAAGGAAAGGGCTGGCGGGGACACTCACACGGCCCCTTTCCCCTCTTTGCTTTCTGTGGACAACGGGGAAATGAGTTGCTGCTCTGCCCTGTGCCCCGGCCCCTGGGGGCCCCGGCTATGGGTGGTGGCATGGCCCCTCCCTACCAGCATGACCAGGTGATGGGAATCAAGGGACCCCCACACACATACTGGTCCTGTCCTTGTCCACCCCAGGCCCCAACCCCCCTTGCTCTCTCTGTCTCTGCCTCTGTCCTCTCTGGGGCTCACCACCCTCTGGAATGTAAGGGTACAGGCCCCCTCTCCCCTGTTCTGGCCTCCCCTCTCGCCTGGATCCCTAGCGAAGATCCAGGAGAGGCGTGCAGTTAGGCTCGGAAGAGGTTGCACGGTGAGTAAATAGTCCTGTGCCTGAAACTGGGAAACTCGTATTCTCGTCTCAGCTACTGGTGTGTGCGTAGCCCTGCGGGTCTGCCCAGCGAGGTGGGCAGGGCCGGGAACGGCACTGCATTTCACAGGTGAAGGCAGGGTGTGTGACCTGCCGTGCCCTCCATCGGGGCTGGAGTGGAGATTTCTGAGCTCTGGCCTAGGCTTCTTTCTCTGTGGTCCTCACTGGGACTTAGATTCTTCAACTGCACGGAGGGGTGCAGGGGGTCGGGGGCGGGGGGCAGGCACAGAATGGAGCAGATGATGGCTGAGGTCCCTTCTGGTCTCATGATTCTGTGAGCCACAAGCTAAGTGCCCCTTTCCTGCCCCCAGAGTCCTGGTCCCTAAGCTCACCTGGTTCTTTTGCTCAAGTCTTGGGTAGGATCCAGACAGAGTCCTCAGCGATCCTTGGCCTGATGGCCCTCCTCTCTGGCTCACAGAAAGTCCGCGCTCTTGGTGCTTGCCAAGGGGACTGGCCGGGTTGAGGGGCCTCCTGGAGGCGTGAGCCCTCCTTCCCCGAGGACCTCGCCCTGCCCAGCCTAGTGCCTCCCTGCCCACTTCACAGCTGGCACACGCAGAGTAGCCCTGTCCTGGGTTTTCAAGGGTTTGCATGTCAACCATTGCTAAACAAAGAACTATCACCGGGGCCTAGTTCCTGGCAGTCACTCGCACATTAAACACCTCCTCATCCTTCCTTCCAGCCCAAGGCAAGCTATGACCCAAGCAAGAGAGAGTCCCACCAGACTTCACCCCTGGACACGTCTAGGGACATCAGCCTTGTGCCTACCCGGCAAGAGGTGGAGGCAGACAAGCAGACAGCTCTCAACAAAGGTACCTCCTGCCCCATCTTCCCTGAGAAGTAAGGCTCAGGGTCAGAGAGGAGCGCAGGGTAGTGCTCACTCATACCCACGGAGTGCTCACCTGTCAGCCCGGTCTTCTCCACAGGATGGGGGTGGTGGGGTTTGAGACCGAGCCTCTCTGAGAAGCAGCCCCGCCCCGTCTCTCCGCCTTCCTCTCTCCACGAGGCCCACTGGCCACTCTGTCTCCCTGCAGTTGGCATTGTGCCCCCGCGGACAAAGTCGCCCGCTGAGGAAGAGGTGACCCCCGCAGGGGTGGTGAGGAGGAATGCTAACGGGCTCCCCAATGGCCTCTCTGCCCGGGTAAGTGTGCTTGCGGGCTCTGGGGGCTTGGCGGGCCTGAGCCAGGCCAGGAGCCCAGGGGCCCTGAGTGTCCACCATCTGCCGCTCCTATTCGAGAAACCCAGGGCTGGAGGCGGAAGACAGAATAAGCAGGAAGGCCAGCAGCCCCAGCCGAGGGGGTGTCCTTCAAGGAGACGTGCCAAGGGACAGGAATGTGTGCACAATAAAGATAAAGAAAGTACTGAACAAAATTATGACGATGAGACACAGATGTGGCAGAAACCAGTGGTCAGAGTCGTGCGCTGGCCAGAGCAGTGTGTCAGGGTCCTGGGGCCGCTGGGAAGGAGCAGAATGGCACGAAGTTGGTAGCTACCCCACAGAAGTTTATTTTCTCACAGTCCTGGAGGCCAGAAGCCTGCACTGGAGGCCCAGCCATGCCCCCCACCCCCACCACAGCAGATGGTTGTTGCTTGGTGTCCTTGGCTTGTAGACACATCACTCCAGTCTCTGCCCCCACCTTCACATCACCTCTTCCATGTGTCTTCTTGTCTCCCATGAGGACACCCATTATTGGTTTTAGGGTGGCCCTGAACAGGATGATCTTGAGACCCTTAATTTAATCACACCTGCAAAGACCCCATTTCCAAATAAGGTCACACTCCCAGGTCCTGGGGGTCAGGACTTGGACATAGCTTCCGGGGACCGCTATTCCATTGACTGCAGGCAAGCTTCCCAAGGAAGGGAAACCTTAAGGGATGAGGGCAGCTGAAAAGGCTGGTGGAGGACCTGCGCCTCTCAGAGCCTCGCCTCCCCCCGCAGCAGGAGCGCCCCAAGAGCGCGGTGTTCCCGGGCGAGGGCAAGGTGAAGATGAGCGTGGAGGAGCAGATCGACCGCATGCGGCGCCACCAGAGCGGCTCCATGAAGGAGAAGCGGAGGAGCCTGCAGCTTCCCGCCAGCCCTGCCCCCGACCCCAGCCCCCGGCCAGCCTACAAAGTGGTAGGTCCTCCCAGCCACCCCCAGGCGTGGCCTGACAGTGGTCACCACTGCCTACTCCCGGGTGCGGGTGCGGCCAGCCTGGGCTGGAGTCCTGGGGTAGGCTGGGGCTTAGAGAGGGAGGGGCCGGGGAGGCTTCTGCCCACCGGGCAAGGAGATCAATCCTGCTACAGGCCTTTCCTTTTTTCTTTCTTTTTTAAAAATGTATTTGTATTGATTTCAAAGAGGCCGAGAGAGAGAGAGAGAGAGAGAGAGAGAGAGAGAGAGAGAGAGAGATCAATGATGAGAGAGAATCATTGACTGGCTGCCTCCTGCATGCCCACATTGGATTGAGCCCACAACCCTGGCATGTGCCCTGACTGGGAATCCAATCGTGACCTCCTGGTTCATTGGCCAACACTCCACCACTGAGCCACACCAGTCAGGCTGGGTGTTTGCTTTGTGTTTAAAGAAAACTCACTTACCCACGGAATGCCTTGATTGTCTTGGTTGAAACAAATTACATACCATTCAGTTATCAGAGGGCAGTATGCAATCCACCACCCACAAGTGGCCAGCACTCACAACCGTTTCCAGAGCACTTGCTGTGGGCTTGGCACTGGGCTGAGTGTCCTGACGATCATCATGCCAGCTCAGTGTTGCATGGCGCGATCCAGTTCCCAGTCCCTTTCACGTTCTCCGTCTAGTCCAGTGGTTCTCAACCTTCTGGCCCTTTAAATACAGTTCCTCATGTTGTGACCCAACCATAATATTATTTTCGTTGCTACTTCATAACTTCAGTAATGTTGCTACTGTTATGAATCGTCATGTAAATATCTGATATGCAGGATGGTCTTAGGCGACCCATGTGAAAGGGTCGTTTGACCCACAAAGGGGTCATGACCCACAGGGTGAGAACCGCTGGTCTAGTCCTTTCAATAACTCGGGGTTAGGAACTATTATCCTTAGAGAGAGAGAAACCAAGCCACGAGAAATTAAGGGAGTCCTGGGCCACACAGCCATTAAGCGCAGAGCTGGGAGGAGCCCAAGGCATCTGCCTGATTTTTCTTTCTGTAATATGCAAAAATTGTGACTCATAAATCCTGCCCTCAAACAGTTTACATTCCAGGTGGTGGATTGGAACTTGCATCATAATAGGAAATGATTAGAGACACTGAGTGTAAGACACTGAACCAACTGCCCAAATGTGTGCCATAGGAGGCAAACAAAGGGCACAGCAGGCTGGGGGGGGGGGGGGGGGGGGACGAATGCTGGTGAGAAATGTTGATGAAGTCTTGCTTCCGGGTCCTGGCAGATGGGCAGGCTTCGGGCAGGCAGTAGGCAGGGTGGTTCTGCAGTGGGAGCCATGGGGTGGCAGCGAGCCGGGCAGGGACAGCGGGGGCACACATGGTTAGGGCTCCCAGGAGGCACGGGTAGAAATGGAGGTGCCCATGTCCCCAGGTGCGTCGTCACCGCAGCATCCATGAGGTGGACATCTCCAACCTGGAGGCCGCCCTGCGGGCGGAGGAGCCTGGCGGGCAGGCCTACGAGACGCCGAGGGAGGAGATCGCCCGGCTTCGCAAGATGGAGCTGGAGCCCCAGCACTACGACGTGGACATCAACAAGGAGGTGAGCGGAGTCCAGGGAGCGGGTGGAGGCCCTGGGAGGGACGGAGGGAGAGATGACCGCGGTCCCTCCACAGCTCTCCACCCCCGACAAAGTCCTCATCCCTGAGCGGTACATCGACCTGGAGCCGGACACGCCCCTGAGCCCCGAGGAGCTGAAGGAGAAGCAGAAGAAGGTGGAAAGGATCAAGACGCTCATTGCCAAGTCCAGGTAACTGGCCTGGGGGAATCTCCGGTTTTTCTGCCCCCCTTGCACCGGGGACACCAGCACTCCAACCCATGTCCAGCCTCCCCCAGAGTAGAGCGAATGGAGGCAGTGGCTCAGAGCAGCGATCTGGGCCTGGCCCTCCAGTGGGGCAAGGGGCTGCCCTTGGGTGCCCAGAGCACCATGAGCTCACGCACATGCTCTCATCCGGACACACCGAGGGGCTGCCTCTGTGACTTCTCCCCTCCCAGGCAGCCCTAAACGTGCACTTGAACCTTCTAATTCATTGTAAAGCATCGTGGGTAAGGGTCCCAACATGTGTTGTGCCAGGGCCCCTCATCCCTGGGGACAGCCTTGCTGGGGACCAGAGCCTGCACATGCCCTTGCCCCCCCCACCAACCTCAGTCCACAGGTCCCCCCCACAGGATATCCGGTCCCCCCACCATGTCTGTGTGTCTGTGCCTCCTCAGTATGCAGAACGTGGTGCCCGCTGGCGAGGGGGACCTTGTGGACGTGCCCCAGGACTCAGAGAGCCAGCTGCAGGAGCAGGAGAAGCGGATTGAAATCTCCTGCGCCCTGGCGACCGAGGCCTCCCGCAGGGGCCGCATGCTGTCTGGTGAGAGGGGCTGGGCCTCGCTCCGCCAGGGAGAGGGCTGACCACGTAGGGGAGGAGGCACGGGCGCTGCCAGGGGTCAGGGCTGGAGAGGAACAGGGCGCGGCAGGATGAGCATTTACTGGGCACCAGGTACCGTGCTAGGCTCAGGGCGCACAGAGGCCGGAGCTGCTGGTGCAGGAGCGCAGAGCTGTGACGACCCTCCTCGCCCCTGTATAGCCGGATGGCCATGGCCATGCAGGGAGCACAGGGAGCCACTCTACCTGGGCAGGTTGGGAAGCACAGAGAAAGGTGATAACTGACTTGACTGGGAAAGATCAAAGTATTTACCAGTTGAGGGGTGAGGGCCAGGTATTCCAGGGTGCCCTTCCCTTCCCCTTCTTTTTTGCTTTGTTAAACCTCACCCAAGGATATTTTTCCATTGATTTTTAGAGAGAGTGGAAGGGAAGGGGAGAGACAGAAATATCGATGTGAGAGAGACACACCTATGGTTGCCTCCCGCATTGAGCCTGTGACCAAGGTACGTCCCTTTGACCTGAATCAAACCCGGACCCTTGGGTCTTCAGGCTGAGGCTCTATCCACTGAGCCAAGCCGGCGAGGGCTCACTTCCCCTTCTGGCTGCACACGGAGAGGAAGAATGAGAACGAGGGTGCAGGCAACCAAGGAGCTGAGCGTGCCAGCAGTCACCACGTGGGCTACTGACCCAGCCCACGCTTCTGCTAAGAAAAGATGAGTCTGAGGAGCTGACTCACACGGGTCCAAGGGCAGCAGGTCCCAGATGGACACCGTGAGGTCAAAGTCAACAGGACTCGTTCTCCTTGGCCTGAGACATCGCCCGGAGGAGATGAGAGTATAATAGGCAAGAACGAGATGAATGAAGGCGGGAAGAATTAAAGGGATTCTTTCTGAACGGGAGCACGAACGGTGGAGGAGAGACAGTGTTGAGTCATGAAGGCTGGAAGATGAACTGTTGTCTCCCCTCAAGACAAGGTGGTTAGGATGGAGAGGGAGGGGAACAGAGGGGGCTTTGGGGCCCGTCAGGAGGGATGCCCAGGAGGATGCCGGGTTTGATGACTTTGGTGCAGGAAGCAGCGATGGGGCACGGGCCGCAGGTACAGCAGCCTGGGTGGGAGTCAGTGGAGGGGATGGCATTTCATGGCGGCGTTTACGAGGGTTTGAGTTCTGGCTCCCTGAGGCTCCGGCCCCTCCTCCGTACAATTCAAATGAAGACACCGGTGTGGTGGTGTGAGGGACAGACACAGTGTGTGCTAGGCCCCTAGCACATGGCCAGGCACTCAGAGCGTGCTCAGTAAGCTCCCGCCAGCTGGGGCAGTAGTCGGGGTGGTGATGGTGGTAGTTAGTACTCGTTGAAATAGCAATGGCTGACATAGGAAGAGGAGCCATTTGTGGTTTTGTAGCTATTTTCAATATGGATCTTTTCAGAAACCAGCAGCTTTTAGGGTACAATAAGGATGTAAGGGAGAACCTACTGGCACTTGGGGTGTCGTGGACATTAGCTGGGTGTCCTGCGGAAGCCCCTGGAGATACTTCAGAGAGAGGCTACCCGTTGGGCTGGAGTTGAGGGTAAGGGAAATGCTGTAGCCAGAGGCAGCAGAACCAGTTTGGCTGCCAGGAGGCCCCGGTCAGACCTTCCTGCAGTGCAGCTGTAAAAGGAACTTGAACCCTCCAAAGATCAAATTCCACCCGCTCTGGGCAAAGGGAAACTTCCTGTTTCGAGGTTAGAGCACACAATATTGTTCTGAATCCTTCCCTCCGCCGCTGCCCCAGCCCCTGGCTCTCTCTCCTACAGTTCCCCAGCCAAAGGTCCCAGGGAAACAAAACCCGCCCAGCCTCTCAGGTTCCCTCCACACACACACACACACGCTTACACTTCAGGGCCTGTGCACTGAGCACACGGTCCCTGGGTTTTGCCCAAACCCCAACTATTTAAAAAATGGTTGTGGAAGGCCAGACCTCAGACTTCGCCCACTGTCCCCACCACCCGTAGTCTATGGTCCAGGTGCCCAGAGCGGCTGATCTGCCAGGCACAGCGAGGACTGTTCCTGGGCATACATGGTGTGGGCAACGTCCATGCTGGGGGCCTGTGTGCATGGGGTGCTGGGCACGGGCCTGAGGACAGTGCCTGAGTGTGGGTGTGTGGCACGGATGGTGTGGTCAGTGACGAGTGTGGCAGCTTGGGCACCAACACCCGGTGCGCGCGGACACAAGTCCGCACTACGGCAGAAGGCAGTTTTCAGGTCGTGGACATAGCATGAGGTCATGGACAGTGTCTGAATCACTACTGTTTGTAGATGCGCATGTATTTGTGTGTATTCCAGTGTGCGGTGTGTGGGGGAGGGAATGTTTGGGTACAAATATAGGAGTGTGTGTGTATGTGTGTACGTGTGTGCAGAATGTCTCCGGGTGTTGTGCGGAGACCGGTTATGTATGAGCACAGGTGTATGTGGTGAGCTGTCGGCGTGTAGGTATATGTGTCTAGGGGGCCCAATACAGGATGGAGGTAGCGTTTATGCATGTGCTCATGTGTGATTGGCTTTGTTTGCAGAACGGGGGATGATAAAACGTTTGTGTATGTTTTGTGCACGGTGTATATATTGCAATATTTGTGAACATCTGTCTGCGTGGGGTGTGGGGGGAGGTCTCATGAATGTGAGTGTGTGTGACTGGTTATCGGTGTATACAGATGTGGCAGGACTTGTGAGCACAATTATAATACCTCGTCTGTCCAGTACATACCTGCTGCATATGTGAGCTTTATTTCAATGGCTGTATTTCTAATATGTATTTAGTATTTCTCTGCCTTTTTAAAAAGGTTCTATTTGACATAATTAGTCTTGCTTGCTCTTACTGCTTTAGTGTCATTAAAAATAGTCTTACTTAGCTGGTCTCTGTCAAGGGTTGCCCTAAGGGGTTCTAAATGGTTCAGACCTGTTTGTAGCTACGTTAAATGCTCCCAAGCTGTCACACCTTTAAAGTTATGTCTACTTTCTGCCAAAGATTTTCCCTCTTCAGTTGGGCCTTCTTATGGATGTCATGGGTCCCTCAATTCCTCTTTTCTAATTTTCTTGTTTTCACTCTCCCATGGGCTGGAACCCCAGCCAGTCAGCACCTTTGAGTCGTGCGTAACTCAGGGTCCCTGGACTCGAAAGAGCGCCTCCCCGGGTAACTGGAAGAACTCCCTGCATGTACATTGTAACATCCATTTGGCTTCCTTGAAATGGTCCTTTCTTAGCTTTTGAGTTTTTGACTGTTTTAGAAACCGAGGTTGCCAGAGAGCTCACCATCGCGATGCAGACATGCATAGGAATGTGTGTTTCGAAAGCATCTGTGAATGCGTTTGAATGTGAAGTTATAGGTGTGCTGAGTCATGTATGTGTGTGTGCGTACGAATCTGAGTTGTGTGCAGTAAGGAAGGATACGGTTTAGCTGCATCCCATGCACAAAGTCCGTGCTGTGTGTGGGCAGACACGACTTCCTGCTCCGTGTCTTCGGTACATGTGTGTGGAGGTGTGCACATAGGTGATGAGCGGTGCGCTGGCCCTGTCTCCTGCACAGGACAGGGAAGGTGACGAGGTCCAGGGCAGTGGGGGAACAGGGAGCAGAAGTTTACCACCCGGATCCCTCTCTCAGAGTAAACATGAGACCCTGGCGGGGCCTGGCTCTGCTCTGAGCCGCAGTGAGGACATTTGCTCTGCTCCCTCCTGCCTAGCAGCTGGGCTGCGGGTGCACAAGGGCCAGGACTGCATAGAGCTGGCCCCTAACAATGCAACGTCTCGTTCTCAACATGGAATAATGATGATAATAGAGTAAAATCTCATTGATTCAAAGTCAGCACCTTAAGGCTTGTAGATATGTTCAGGGGTCGATGGCAGTTTGCCTTCACTGGATTGTGCAGAGTCTCAACCAGCAGGGCTCACATTTCTTTCCTTTTTAAAAAAAGTACATTTTTATTGATTTCAGAGAGGAAGGGAGAGGGAGATAGAAACTTCCATGATGAGAGAGAATCTCCGAGCCCACAACCCGGGCATGTGCCCTTGACTGGAATCGAACCTGGGACCCTTCTGTCCACAGGCCAACACTCTATCCATTGAGCCAAACCAGCTAGGGCAGGGCACAGATACCAGAACTCTCTCTCAGCCTCCCAGAAGCCTCCATTTTAAAGGAATCAGTTAACATGGTGATCACCACACTTCGATCATCATAAGGGGGGGCCGGTGGTTTGGATTAGTGACTTTCCTGTGCTGCTAATCATTAGCAGAGCGCTATCCCCCTAGAAAGGCGCCACCCCACTCCCTGTGCACATTATGGAGGTTTGTGCCAACTTCCCCGTTGTCGTTGTTGGTGGGAGGGGAGCCGTGGGCCCGGAGGCCAGGCCTGGCCCCAGCCGCAGCCACACTGGGTCCCAGCAGAGCCAGGATTCGGCCAGGTCTGCCCCGGGGCCATGTTCTCCGCCCCCGCGCCCCATAGGCCACTCTGCCTCAGCTTGGGCAGGTCCCCAGGCTCCACTGTTCTCTCTGCTTGTCGCCTGCCCTGCTCTCTGCCCTCTGGGGCAAGACCTGCCTGCTCCCCGCCCCCCATACCCCCCCCATTCACCTCCCTGTTCATTTCTGTTTCCAGTGCAATGCGCCACCCCAAGCCCTCCCACCTCCCCTGCCTCCCCGACTTCACCAGCCAACCCCCTCTCGTCTGAATCCCCACGGGGCACCGACAGCAGCCATGCCATGCGGGTCTGAGCTCAGACGTAAGCACTTTTCTACTGTATTTCCTCCACCCCAGGGAGGGGGACCCCTGCCCTCACCCCCACTGAGCCATCTGCACCCTCTCATTCTGGCATGGCTTCTCCCCTCCGCCCGGTGCCTGGCCGCTCTCCCCCGCCACCCCGCTGCTTGAGCCCGGCGTCCCCGTGCTGGGTCCCGGTGCCCGTGCTGGACTGGGGCCGGCTGGCAGGGCGCTGCTTGGAGCTGCCACGCCAGTGCCATGGGCTTTGCTTCTCCGGAAGCAGATGGAACAGAGCTGAGGCCTCCCTCGTCCACTGTCCGGAGGGGACTTCCCAGACACCCTCCGTGTAGCTCCTGTGAGGTCCCAGCCTCAGGAGCCCCCAGAAGCCGTTTCGCCCAGATCTTACTGACCCCAGACCTCACTGTAAATTAAAGTAACGCCAGGCTCTCTAGCCAAAGGCCGTGCCCGTCCTTCCCCCAGCTCAGGGCGCCCAGTGCCAGGCGCGCGGAGAGCTCTTGACTGCGGTCTGTTTCTCCTTCTTGGGGTGAGGGAGGGGCCGGCCCTCGAGGTCTGACCAGAGTCTCGCTCCTGGGAGAAGTGTCTGGAGTCTGCCCTGTGCGGCCCCTTTCTCACCGATGTCCCTCTTCTTCAGTGCAAGCCCTGGCAGAGGCCACCGCCGCGAAGCTCCACAGAGCCACCTTCTGAAGCCCTCCGCGAGGCCCCGGCCCCTCCCCGGCCCGGCCCCCTGCTCTCCTGGGAAAACTGCGAAGAGCCAGGCTGAGGGCCAGGGCTGCCGCCGAGCGGAGAACGGAGCACGGATGCTTCGGCCCCAAAGCCCTCGCTGCTCAGACAGGTCCCTCTGGTCCTGAGCCTGGGCCTGAGACGGAGCAGAAAGCATCCTGTCTGATGCCCAAGTCACAGGGCGCCCAGGCCTGATGGCTGGGGTGTGATGGCCCTACTGGAACATTCCCTGATGGAGAAGACGCCCTGGTGGGGAAGATGCTCTGGACCATCTTAGGTTAGGACGAGAGGTGAGGAGCAGAGGGGCACTCTGCCTCTTCCCACCCTCCTTGACACCAGGACAGCACCTGCCATCATCCCCTCCCCGTCAGCCCTTACCGCCCATGGCCCCCGCTGTGCCGGGGGCTGTGATCCCTGCTGTGGGTGCCCTTTGCGGTCCCGTGGAGACTAACCACTCTGTCCGAGCCAAAGACGAGATGACAAGAGATGGGGCGAGGCACCTTGGCTCCCCGGGGGCCGGGGCAGGCTGGGATAGAGAGCAGGTCTGGGCAGTGTCTGGGGAGGTCGGGAAGGGGGAAGAGAAGGAAGGGAGGTCCTAGGAAAGGAAGGGAAAGAAGCGGCAGGGCTCATTTGCAAGTAAGAGGACAGAGATGGAGAGAGGATGGGAATGGTTTCCCGGGTGCGCCTCAGCGTGGTGCCAAGTCCTGTGCCACACTGTCGGCTTGGCCCTTCCCACCTTGTCCCCAGGCCGATGCCGAGGCCCCAGGAGGCCTCACCAGTGAGCACACGGTGGCCTTCAGCTGAAGTGCTTGGCATGGGGGGGTGGGGGGGAATGAGGGGGCTGGGTAGGACAGTCCGGGACACACAGGGCCCTGTGTAGGCCTGGGCCTGGTGTCTGCCTCCGGTACTGGGCTGGGGGGGCAGAGAGAAGGATCTGTCTTGTGCAGGGTGTGGTCAGCCTTGGAGCCTCTCCTCACCATTTTGGCGGCATTTTCTGGCATGTGCTATGGGCCAGCTGCCAGTGTGCCCGGGGAGAGGGAATGAGCCTTCAGCTGGGAGGCCAGATGCCAGGACCCCGCCGCACACCCCGGCCCCCCAGACGAGGACCCGTGGAGGCTGTACCAAGGACTCCCTCTGGCTGACTCTTTCGGGATCCACCTGACAGGGAGGCAAGTGCAGGAGAGACAGAAGCAAACTCATTCTTCCTCTGCTCCGCCCACCATGAGATGAATGTAGCCAGAAGGAGGGAGGAGAGAGAGTGCGGCTGGACAGTCTGGCTCCTAGGCCTCCTCTTTGCAAGAGCTGCTGCCTGAGACTCCAGCCTGACCTTCAGCCGCCCTAAGAACAACTCCTTTATCTCCTCCCAGTTCTTCACTCCTTCACGGCTGGGGCAGTTACTGGTTCATATGCAAGTAAAGATGACAACTCATTCAACAAATATTTATCGAGCACCGTTTGTGTACCAGGCACCGTCCTAGGTGCTCAGGATAGTCGCTTCTGAGGGGTTACAGACGGGGGGTTCCACTTGTCTTTACTTGTGGCAGGTTTTTGGCTACATTTCCCGCCGTTAGCGCAGCTCGAGCACCCCAAACGGTCCTTTCTCCCCGCAGACTGGCAGGTGGGGTTGGCTCCCAGCTCTTCCTCGTTCCCGCACCTTTCTCCATCCACGAGACACAGATTTTTCAGGGCCTTCCATGCCTTCCCCTTCCTTTATCTGTCTCTCCTTTTTTTAAAGTGATATTTTTAAGAAATACATGGAAAATACCAAGGATCAATGTCTGCTCGTCTGTCACCTCTCTCACCTCCTATTCCATAAAGCTGGCCCTTTATGTTGCTTTACATGCCTTAATATATGTTTTATGAAGATTATACATATGATAGGTTTATATGTAAGATACATATTGGTTTGGGTGTCGGATCCTTGCCTAGAACTCCTGCCCAGGCCTGTCTTCTCTCCTTTACTCTCCACGCCATTCCTAGCATGTCGCGGCTATACCCCATGCCTTGGATCCAAAGAAGGGGAGAGAAAGACTTATTTTAAGACGGATCTATTTTACGCTTTTATTATGAAAGCAAATCTATTTTCAAATGTGCAATGTCTAAATGGAACTGGCCAACAACGGGAGGAGACTGGGGTGACTGCCTCTAGGTCCAGCCTCCACCCCACCCGCCTCCCCCAGCTGCCCCCGCCCTCCCACTGCCCGGTCTGCAGAGGGCTGGTCCCCAGAGCTCACCCCAGAGCATCTCCCCAGGGCAGGACGTGCTCTCGGAAGTCCTGGTCTGAGGGTTTGATTACACTGACGACTCTTGAATACCCGCTAGAGTTCTCGGGTATGAATCCTATGGAAGAAAGCGTTTACGTGTGTGCACAGGGGCACCCACGCAGGCCCCTCCCAGCGATGTGCTCCCAACCTCCCCCATCACCTGCTGCAGGGGGCAGGCAGTTTCGTAGCCGCCTGTGCCAAACATGAATGTCAGTCTGTCCCTTGACGGACCCAGGATATGGTGCAAAGGCCAAAGGAAGTGGTCTGGGATCCCTGGCCCTTCGGCGCAGACGTGTTGGAGTTCCTTGGACGACTTCCCACCCTCCTTTTCACGTGGCCTCTCTCTGCTCTGGGTCGCGTTGATGGCACCTGTTTTACTCTGTGACCTTCCTTCTGGGGGCTGTTCCTAAGGGCCTGGCACCTCGGTCTGGCATCCAGACTGCGGAGTCCGCTGCTGGGCTGAGGAGGGTCCCACGGGCAATGTAGCAGCTCAGCCTTGCCAGGAGCCGCTGCCCCTGGGGTGCCAGACTGAGGCAGCTCAGTCTTCCAAACTGCTTGTCCACTGGAAGTGGGCAAGGGGCTCTTGCCTTGTACGGATCTGGGCAGGATGGGAGTCTTTTGTCCAGGTCTGGAATCTGGGGGTTTGGGACCTGGCGCAGAGCTCCCGGCCAGCATTGGAAGCCTGACCTGCCAGCTTGACCACTTACCGGCCCCTGCGTCCAGCCTCGAGCATCTGGCTGCGGATGGATGGGTCCCAGATGGGGGCCCAGGGCTGAGACACCCATCTGGGTACACTCCTGGTTACCGATCTAGAGCCTTCCCAATTAGCACATGACCTCCCTGATCAATAACCGAGAGGCTGCAATCAGATATTGCTACTGTCACTTTAAAGATTTTTCTGAGGTTGCAAGCTGTGCACACTTGCCCTCTGCCTTGGCGAGAGGCGTGTTCTTGGGGCAGGGCTGACTATAGCAAGAGGAACCCAATTCCTTTCCCCTTCAGGCACCCCCACCTGGAAGCTCTTAAAAATAAGGGAAAATATGAAATATACATACCTATATATATACATATACATATATCTATTTATGCACATATTGGGGCCAATCTGATTTGCTAGTATTAGACAATAAACTGTACAAGGAAATGTCTGATCTCAGTGTCTTTATTTAGCATAAAAGTGACCTTAGAAGAGTTCAGGTTAGACAGACAGCATCTCTGCCAGGGGACCGGCAGCTGTAGCAGCCCCTGGGCATCTTTCTAGCCGAAGCCCCTCCTGGGAGGGGGCACCTGCCTGACAGGCTAGAGTTGGGGTCCGCGCTCAGCAGCTGAAGAGCCCCCGTGAGCTCCGCATTTGTATATTGTAAGTTTGTATAAAGCCAACACCGGAAATAAAATGGTTTGTACAAGTGGTGCGTGTCTTGCCCTCTGTGTCCATGTCTGCCGGTGGCTGGCCTTGGGGTTCATGGCCATTTACGGTGGGTCTGGGGCCAGGCCTTCCCGAAGAGCAGAGTTCAAAGCACGTGGACCGCCACCCCTCTCCCTCTGCCCCCAGCTGCATCTCCCCCTCCCTCCCAGGCAGCTATCCCAGAGTTCACGGGAGAGTGCCACCTCCCTGCACCCCGGGGATGATGCTACACTGCCAACACCACAGTCATCTTCTTGGCTCGGGCGACCCCAGATCAAGGCTTGTCCTTAGGTCTGTATACCGGGGGCATCAGATGCTCCGGGCCCTGGAACCTCCCCTGATTGGGTCTCCGAGGCTGAGGTTAGGACTGTAGGGAAAAGTCATTCTCAGCCTTTCTCTGTATTTCTACTGTAAGGGACAAGAAGGCATATGATTGGGCAGGGAGTTCGGGGGTGTTATCAGAAAGGACACCCAAATTCTTTGCATCCAGCCTCAATGCCTTTGGTCCATTTCTCTTGGTAGGAACTCGGTGCTTATCGCTTATTGGCACTCAGTGTGAAAGACTGAACTAAAGCTTCTCAGTTTGAAATCTTTCTGTGAACAATCAGAGCCCAGAAGCCCTGTAATTCTGTGGGGTGGGGGGTGGGGAGAGAACATGAACCCAGGACTGTGGCCGGCCCAACTGGATGCCTGGGGGGAGAGGGAGGTGTCAGTGGTTCAGGGAAGAGAAGAAAATTGAGAAAGAGGAGACGGGAAGGCGAGCTTCCTCTAATTGCCGATTTTCCCTTGGGCTGGTTCTAATGGCTGATTTTGAATCCTGGACACCTGTCCTCATCCCTAAAGGGCTAGTAGAGTCGACATAAAGTGACTATTTTGGGGACTTTGTGGCATCCCGGGGAGCACTATAGACCCTGATATACTTGGTGAATCGGGGAGAATTGGGGCCAGATGTAGACTCAAGACAGAGGCCTTAGGGCTGGGAAGGTGTAGTGGAGAACTTGTCCGTTTCGGGGCTGCCTCGGTATCTGCAGCCCCACCCAGGCCAGAGCCCACGGCTTGGAGAGGAGGAGGCATGTGGGAGCACCACGGGCACCGCTGTACCCACCAACAAGGCCGGTTCCTCTCCAGGGATGATGCCCACAGGTCCCTGTCTGCCCCACCTCGGGGCCCACGCAGCCCTCGGATGGAGCCAGGCTGGGGCTGTCAAGTAAAGCAGCAACTAGCAGAAGGCCCTTTCGGAGCGGTGCTCTGACTGCGTGGCCATTCATTCCTAAAGAGGGCATGTCAGTGCCAGGAAGGAGCCAGCTTCCACCTGCTGCCGCCGTGGAACCAGGCCGCATGCACCTCCCACCCCGCAGCCTCCAGAGAGGAACTGGCCCCACGTCGCTGAGACGGATCCCAGAGAAGATGATGTTGGGCTCATCTCCTCCTCGGCTCCTTGTAGTGCCATGAAGATGATCCTTACGTCTCAGTTTCCTTATCTGTGATATGGGGATGTTAATACCATCTTATAGAGCCCTTGGGAAGTTCCAATGAGAAAGCAGAGGAAAAGCACTCTGAAAGTTTGAATGCGCCCGGCCGGCGTGGCTCAGTGATTGAGCACGTACCTATGAACCAGGAAGTCACGGTTCTATTCCAGGTCAGGGCCCAGGGCCCAGGCTCGATCCCCAGTGTGGGGCGTGCAGGAGGCAACCCATCAACAATTCTCTCTCAGTGATGTTTCTGTCTCTCCCTTCCTCTCTGAAATCAATAAAAATATACATCTATTAAAAAATAAGTTTGAAGTCACTTACAAATGTCGGGGGTGGAGGATGCTGCTGTGGAGGTCGCTCAGCTGCCTGCGGGGATGAGGGGAGAGGGAGAATGTCTCCCAAGGTCTCCCCTTTGCTGCAAGATGTCACCAGGGCTCCTGCCGTTCAGCCCTCCTTCCCCTGTCCAATTCGACTCCTCCAGCCCAGGCCCAGGGCCCTCCCCCAGGCCTTGACCACGCAGCCAGGCCATAGGCTGAGGGCCAGCCCCAGCCTTCCAGGGCCTGCATCCTCCTCCCAGGGGTTGCCCACGTGAAGGGGCTCCTCTCAGGAGGGTGGGCAGTGGGCCACCACGCTGGGCCCGGCTCCAGTGCCCAGTGCTGCCATCTGGGACTCAAGCCAGGAGGGCCCAGATGCAGGAGAGTTTGTTCTGAGCTCACAGGTGAGCTCCATGGTGGGGAGGGAATTCAACGCTGCTGTCTGCTCACCCATGGGAGCAGTTTAGAACCACGAGTTCCGATGAGAGAAGTCTTCCGTGGAACAGTATTTGTTAGTGTATTAATAGCAGAAACATTAATGACAACAGTAATTGTTATAACTATCCGAGAAGACTAATAACAATGGCTCATGAAGTGTGTGCCAGTGCCAGTGCCTGGTCCTCTGCCCATCGCATGAATTTACTCTGATCTTCGTTATAGCTCTATGTGAAAGGTACTGTCGTTACCCAAGGACCTGGGGCACAGAAAGGACACAAAATGCCCAGGTCTCGGGGACCTGGAATGAGGCCCGGGGTGCTCTAGAGCCTAAGCCAGGGGTCCTCAAACTTTTTAAACGGGGCCAGTTCACTGTCCCTCAGACCGTTGGAGGGCCGGACTATAGTTTTAAAAAAAAACTATGAACAAATTCCTATGCACACTGCACATATCTTATTTTGAAGTAAAAAAACAAAACGGGAACAAATATTTGTATTTGCATGTGGCCCGCGGGCCGTAGTTTGAGGACCCCTGGCCTAAGCTCTTAACTTAGCAGTGGTTTCTTTTCTTTTTTAAAATATATTTATATTGATTTCAGAGAGGAAGAGAGAGAGAGAAACATCAATGATGAGAGAGAATCGTTGATCAGCTGCCTCCTGCGCGTCCCCTACTGGGGATCAAGCCTGCAACCGGGGCATATGCCCTTGACCAGAATCAAACTTGGGACCCTTCAGTCCGCAGGCTGACGCTCTATCCACTGAGCCAAACTGGCTAGGGCAACTTACCAGTGGTTTCAATGAGGGTGACACCACCAGGAAATTGGGGCGGGGGGAGGGGGGGAGGCTAAGGGGGCAAAACTCTTGCTGGCGTTCAGTGGCGGCAATGCACAGGCAGATTTCCACACTAAGTCTTGGTCCTGTGTCCTGCAGGCCTTTATAACGTGCAAGGGGCCCACACAGCTTCCATATGAGTCGTGCAATTCAGAACAGTACTGAAGAGTTTTTATAAGCCTCTAAGCTTTTTAGAAGTTTCATGAGTAGCTCAATAAGTTAGGAGATGCTTATTAAGGAGCAGGAACTTAAATGGAATAAAGACGTTGTCTCAAAATTATTGAATAATCTACCGCCTGCATTGCCTACACAATCCATTATACCGCTTCAGCCCTGTATGTTTGGTTGAAAATGACTCCAGTGCAGGAGGGCCTTGCTGAATAAGTAGACACCGAATGTAATATAAATATTTAACAGAGGAGATCTGAGAGAACCAAACAGTGTTAAAGCAAAGTTACTTGAAATGCAGGGGATCTCTTTGGATCTCTTGGATAAATGTTTTTAGAAGTTATTTCCTATTATCGCTATATTTTTAAAGAGTTTGCAGCCCAGGAATGCACACCTATGTTGTCGGGATTGCCTGTGGAGTTGTTTGGGGGCGTTGCCTGTTGGTTTTTTATCTTCCTCTCATACTGTCCCAGGGCTCCACATGCAATTGCTTTGAACCACTTATCTCACCATTTCTCTTTCCAATCCATCCTCTATTCCCATCACCTATCGGAAATATGTGAGCTCCAAGGCCTTTAAGATCCTCCAAATGGAATTTTACCTGAACACACGGTGGCGTTTCAGGACGGAGATCTGTGTGTGTGTGATACGCCACCATTTCCCCATTCCGTGCCGTGACACAGGGAGCGAGGGCCAGCGCCTGGGCATTCACTCTGCTTCATTCTGCCCCACGTGGCCCTCCCTCACTTGCCTTGCTTTCTCGTCCTACTTAATTTAGGTTCTATCCCTCTTTCTCTTTTTATATGCAAGGACATCCGGTCTGTTCTTACCCACCTAGCATTCATTTTTATTCTAGTATTTACTCCCTGTTACTCTTGTGGGTTTGTTTTAAATTACATAATGGCTCTAGTCTTCTATTTCCCGTAAATTCGAATCTATTTATTATAAGCAGGTGCAAGCAATCTGCCTACGCCATTTATGTCTTCCGGTAAGTCTTGCCGGTGCATTTATATATTGAGACACATTGTGTTTTATTATACATTATTTCTCTTTGTTACAACTAGCTTTACTTGCATTTGTACAAAGGATGTATGTAGATTAGCCATGTCATCTGTGGACTTCATTTCAGGGGAGAGGGGACATTCTAAAAGGGATGCTGGCTCTCATGGGGCTGAGGGCCACTGCCCTACAGTGGGAGGAAGGTGTTCGGAGCTCCCCACCCGTCTCTCTTCAGGCCCAGAGGGAGGAAAGGATGCACCCGTGTCTGCTCACCTGCTGGGTAGACTAGAACCAGGCTTCCTCGACAGTCCAGCCTTCCTCCAAGGTCAAATTCATCTTTTATCTAGGGTAGCTCAACCCCAGAGTCCAAAGCAGGGGAAGAGGAGGTGGAGCCCTTGTGTCTAACTCCGTCTGGCACTCCCAGGAGACCAGCAGCAACAGGTTTTACTCAGTTGCTTGGCGCCCCCTAGGGTATAGCCTGGGTACTAAGTGCAAAACAAGCCAACTGTATACCAGATGAAATTCATACTTTTCCAAAGGGAAACACAGATGCCAGCTCTTCCCCTACACACTCCAAACCCAGGCAGGAGCCTGGGCACTCCTTTGTCTCTGTTCTTTTATGTACAGTCCATGCTGTGCTGAGGAGTAGAAGGCACTGAACTCGACCTGAAGGCAGGGAGATGGGGGAGAGGGGACCCTATAAGTCAGGTGGGATATGAGATGCTCCAGGGGGCCAGCCCGTGGAGGGACAGTGCCCCTGGGAGGAGCCAGGGGAAGGGAGCCTGTGACTTTCAACAGCCATTTGTGTGTGTGTGTGTGAGTGTGTGGGTGTGTGGGTGTGTGTGGAGAGTTAATGATTTACCGGAGGCTCCTTTCACAACTTACCAAGGGTCAGCTTCCCTTGAGCATGTACAAGCTTGGATCTCGGTACTCCTCGCCCCGGCCAGCTTGAACCCAGGGCGCCCCCCAGGCAGCCTGCGGCATGATCTCCATCACCGAATGGCAGAGTGAGTGTGGGGGGCCCTGCTGTGGGGGGCTGGGCTGGAGCGGGGTGTTTAGGCGAGGTGGGGGCCGAGGTGCCCCTCCTAGCTGGGATCTCTTTGTGGGAAGTCTGTGAGGTGACCTCTGGAGCCAGTGGCCTGGAGCTGCTGTGTTGGCATCTTCCACGCAGCAGGACCATGGCCAGGTGTGGCTCCTCGGCTGCCAGGGGCTGGGGGGTGGCTCCAGGCCCCCAGGAAGCAAAGGCTGGTGTTGGGGAAGCTGATAGGTTCACACTCCAGCTGGTGCCTTTCCACTCGGGGCCCTTAAACCTGGGGTGCTGCAAAGGTGGACCCAGGAGGCCGTTGCCCATTCAGGCATCTTTCCCCCAAAACTCTCCTGGGGCCCCTATGGCCCTGGATCCCTTCCTACCAGAAAATAAACTCAACGCCGCTCCCCAAACCCCCATATCCTCACTCCTAAACCATCTCTCCCTCTCTTTGGAGTGAGCAGCGGAGTAGTCTGCGGGTCTGGGAGGCGAGGGAACTGGTTCCGTGAGTTTCATTCGGGGGAGTTACTTAAAGCCTCTGATCCCCGGTGTCTCATCTGTGACCTGGAGGTAGCACTCATTCATTCACGGAGCAGATGTGTCTCTTGTGCCACGCACTGTGCTGGGCATAGAGTACACAACAGTGGGTGAGCACACTTATCCCCCACTCACAGGCTAGAGTGGGGGAGCAGGAGCTGCTGGAGGAGGCCAAGGTGGCAGCAGCGACCTGGTGGGAAGGGACCGATGCTGGGTCTGTTTTGAGGAAACTGCTGAAAGGATTCGCTGATGGGTTGGATGCAGAGTGTGAAACAAAAAAGTCAGGAATATTTTTACCTGAGCAACTTGAAGGTGTGAGTAGGGGAAGCGGGCATGTTGAGTCTGATGGGCTGGTATTAGGCATCCAGGTGAGATGTCAAGTGGGTAGCCAGGTATATGAGTCTGGGACAGAGAGGGGAATTCTGGAGCTGCCCACATATAGATGACATTTAAAGGTACACGACTCCGTGAGATCATCTGGGCAGTTTCCCAGCCTCCCCACCACTGACATTTGGGGGCAGGGTAAGTCTTTCTTGTGGGCTCTGCTCTGGGCATTGTAGGATTCTAGCAGCATCTCTGGCCTCTACACACTGGATGCCAGGATTACACTCACATTCCCAGTTGTGACCATCAAAACTGTCTCCAGCCTGGTCAGATGGCTCTGTTGGCTGGGCATCGTCCTGCTGCGGGTTCAGTTCCCAGTCAGGGCACATATCTAGGTTGCAGGTTCGACTTCCGGTTGGGGCGTGTACAGAAGGCAACTGATCAATGTCTCTCTCTCTCAAATCAGTGGAAACATAGCCTCGGGTGTGGATTAAGAAAAAAAGTCTCCAGATATTCCCAATGTCCTCTGAGAAACAAAACCGCCGCTCCCACTGGAGAACAACTGGCCTTCATATTTCTAAAACTAGAGAGAGAAGAGGGCTGAGCCCAGTGGCAAGCCAACATTTATTAAACCAAAATGTGCTAAGGTTTATGAAGAACGTGCTGAATTTTAAGAAAGAAAGCCATGAGGGACCAGATTGAGGTCGGGAATGGAGAGCGGAACAGGTCTCCCTGAGGAGCTGGCATTGGCGTTGAGACCTGAAGGATGAGTACCAGTGGGAGGAACCTGTGTGTTCGCAGGCCCGGCGGCAGGAGGCTCGTCCTGGGAACCAGGTGTGGTTGGAGTGTGGCTGGCGAGGGGGCAGGGGCAGGAGATGAAGCTGGACCAGCAGTCCTGGGCCACTCCATGCAGGGCCGTGAGCCAAGAAAATGGTTGTTTTGTCTCAGCCCAGGGGGAAGCAGGGAATAGGATTGGGTGGTATGTTCTCCAAGATCCCTGACCGCCGTGTGGAGGAGGGACATGAGGGAGGCAGGAGTGAAGCAGAGACTAGCGGGAGAATGCTGGCGGGTCCAGAACAGACGTGAGGGTGGCTTGGAATTCGGTAGTAAGAGTGGAGAGAAACAGCCTGGCTGGTGTGGCTGGGTTGGTTGGGTGTCATTCTGTGCACCAAACGTCAGGTCACCAGTTCAACTCCCAGTCAGGGCACATGCCCGGGTTGCAGGCTCCATCCCCAGTAGGAGGTGTGCAGCAGGCAACCAATCGATGATGTTTCTCTATCATTAATGTTTCTATCTCTCTACTCCTCTCCCTTCATATCTCTCTCTCTCTCTCTCTCTCTCTCTCTCTCTCTCTCTCTCTCAATAAAAACTTTAAAAAAGGGAGTAGTGACTGAGAGCGTAGTGAGGAGGCTCAGTGATGGCTGCAAGCTGCCCATTGGGTGGTGGTGACATTTGTATTCATTTGAGGAAAACCAAGAGAGGTGCAAGTTTATGGAAAGAAGCTCAATAGCTCGGTTTGGACCCGTTGAGCCCAATAGGCCTTGAAGAGAGAGAACCACGCAGATTTGCTGTGTAGGCAGCTGCACATGAGTTTGGAAGCTCAAACTCATTATTTATTTATTTACTTGGGCTAAATAAATAATAATAAATGTAATATATATGAAAGGCCAATATCAACATTGTCAGCACACAAGTGATATTTCCAGACTTGGGAATATGCGAGAAAAGAGAATGAGACGTGAACTTGAGCCAAAGCCCTGAGCCATTAGAATCCCAAGAGGAAGAGAGAGAAGTGGGAGGAGCTGGCCAAGGAGCCTGGGGAAGCGTGGTCAGACAGCGGGACGAAAACCAGCAGCAGGCCACCATGGGATCAGCAGAAAGGCCACTTCAGGAAGGGAGTAGCCAGCTGCTAAGGTGAGGACTGACCCCTGCCCGGTGGATTTGGGAACCCGGACATCACAGGTGGCCAAAGCCAGAACAATTTCTCTGGAGGAGGCCTGAGGGTGGGCGGGGGTGGCGGTGGATGGGCTGGGTTGATGAAAGGCACTTTTTCTGGAGCCAGATGCCAGGCTACTGGGATCAAACCCTGGCCTGCCAGCTGCTGGGCGCCCCTGGGCCAGTGACATCACCTCTGAGTGTTTCCGTTCTGTGTGTGAAGTGTGGCTAACCGCGTCCCTACCTCAGAGGCAGCTGTGAAAATTAGATGCGTTCACAAGACTTAAAGTGCGTGGACTGTGCCTGGCACCGTGCGCTGGTTAGCGTGAGTGGTTGTTACTGTTCATCACTATTGGTCACTTTGAACAGTGAAGGAGGCTCTTTCTCTCCCCGTTTTCCCCTTCCTCTTCCTGAACAATTCCGTCCTAAAGCCGTTAGGTAGAAAGGGAGGTGGTGCCCAGAGCAGGTGTCAGAACCCTCGACAGGTGGAAGGAGGCTCACCTGAGGTTGGCCTGGTGCCGAGGCAGCATCAGGTAGGGAGTGGAGAGGAACAGAATAGTGGAGGAACCTGGCAGACACCACCTTAATCACGGGGTTAAAGAAACATCATCTGCCCTGGCCAGTGTGGCTCCGTTGGTCAAGCATCGTCCTAGGCACCAAAAGGTTGCCGGTTCGATTCCCGCGGTCAGGGCACATGCCCAGGTTGTTGCGTACAGGAGGCAATGGATCAGTGTTGTTTCCTCACATTGATGTTTCGCTCTCTCCCTTCCTCTCTCTCCAAAAAATCAATAAAAACATGTTTTAATAAAAGACAAAAGAAACATCATCAGTAATAGGCCACATTGAGAAGAACACAGCATCCCATCTTGTTGATATTTCTGCAGAACTAATACCAGATAACCGACCCAAATCTTCAAAAGTGTCAACGTCATGTCAAGGGAAGACTGGGGTCCTATTCCAGACATGACAGACATAAAACCAAATGCCACACGTGGCTCCGAACTGGATCCTTTAGTTAAAAATGCTAACAACTGATGAAAGGTAAATGTGGTCTCACTTTAGGGGGTAGCAATGTGCCCGTGTTAATGCCTTGGCTCTGACGGTTGTATCCTGGTAAAGGAAAACCACACGGAAGTCTCCAGGGGTGATGAGAGAGCCCGTGGCAGCTACTCTCAGATGATTCAGGGGGAAAATGTTGTTGTATTGTACTTGCAACTTTTCCGTACTTTTGTGAATGGAGAGAGAGAGAGAGAGAGAGAGAGAGAGAGAGAGAGAGAGAGAGGCGTGAGAAATGAATAGTGTTCCCTGGCTCCCAGCCCAGCCTTGGGTCAGAAGGACCTTCCACCTGCTTCAGGAGACACTACTTCCCTTCCAGGAGCAGCAAGGACCTTGCCCTGGGCGTCAGTGAGTGCGAGCTCCTGGGCGGGGGTGGGGGCAGCCCAGCTCGTCTGCAACCTTGCAGGCTGTGGGCTCCTCTTGGCAGCCCTCTGGAGCTGCAGGTTGGGGTGGTTGCTGAAGAGGGCAGCCATGCCCTAGCTGGTTTAGCTCAGTGGCTAGAGCATCAGCCCGTGGACCAAGGGGTCCTGGGTGCGATTCCAGTCAAGGGCATGTACTTCAGTTGCAGGCTCGATCTCCGGCCCTGGTCGGGGCGTGTGTGGGAGGCAACCAATTGATGTGTCTCTCTCACATCGATGTTTCTCTCTCTCTGTCTCTCGCCCTCCCTTCCACTCTCTCCAAAAATCAATGGAAAAATATCCGCAGGTGAGGATTAAGGCAGGCATCAGCCTGCCACGACAGGGACACCTGAAGCTGGCCTATCTCTGGGGGCTGGGTGGTCCCTGCTTCTCATTAGGACTCAGTGGTTCTCAACCTTCCTAATGCCGCGACCCTTTCATACAGTTCCTCATGTTGTGGTGACCCCCAACCATAACATTATTTTCGTTGCTACTTCATAACTGTAATGTTGCTACTGTGATGAATCGTCATGTAAATATCTGATATGCAGAATGTAGTTTCATTGTTCGCGACCCACAGGTTGAGAACCACTGCTAGGTGATGCCCTGGAGAGCCGGGCCTCCCTGAAGTTGCGGGAGCCGGGCCTCCCTGAAGTTGCGGGAGCCGCCCCTGGTCCTTTCCTCCAGCAGGGGGCGCGCTGCCCCTCTGTCTGGATCCCCTAGGGCTGCGGACACTTCTGTCACTCCTGGTGACGTGCCCCCCACAGCCCCGCCCTCGGCCATGCTCGTGTCCCCGGAACTTCAGGAGCGGCCCCAGGTGGTAACTGAGCTGAAATTGCTAAGCGGCTGCAGGAGAGACGGAGGGGGGTCTGAGGCCTGAGCGAGAGAACAGCTGCCGACCCTTTTCCGTGAGGTTTGTGTCCGCGGTGCAGTGTCCCCCTGGACACTGGGGGCACCACGCGGCCCGGGAGGAAGGCTGCCCGTGGCAGGAGCTGGGGGGTGGCACCGGTCCTTCAGCAATCGCGGGGGACAGGTTAGGAAAGCAATCGCTATGTAAACCAGCACATCGCTGCAGGGGAAGAAAGTATGATGTGGCAGGGTGTGAATCTGGGAAACTTGGGCGGTTTCCACGAAATGAATAAGAGGCTGTTCTTAGGTGTTTCCAGGATGAACACATAGATGTGTTAACAAAACAAAAGGAAAACCTAGTAAAATATTCACATTGTTTCCACACCAAACACATCCCCCTGGGGGAGATAGAAGCGAAGGGTGGTTGTCAGAGCCGGAACCAAGGGCGTGTTTTTGTGGCAGGTGTAAGCTGAGACCAGATGTTTTTATAACCGGCATGAAAACGTAAATGCCTTGGCCGTTCGGATAAAAGAACAGGGCTGTGGTCTTCCTACGTAAAACCATCGTGGCAAAGCAGAGGCCCTTCTAGCCCCTCTCGAGGACAGAGACATCACACACCAGGGAAGGACAGAACACAGCCTTCGCCATGGCCCACGGAGGCTGCACTGCCCGGTGTCCTGGGCCCTCAGAGGTGGGATTCAGACAGGCATTGCTGAGAGGGGGGCGTAGGAAACAAGCCCAGATAGACCGGGGGCTGTCAGAAGCAGGCGGAACCGGCCATCAGTCCGGCTGGATTCTGGGCAGATGGACATTCCGCTGACAGATCCGGTGGTGGCGCTGGGCCCTAACAGAATCCGGCTCTGCCGAACGGGAGACCAGCAAGACTGGCACTTCCCTGGATGATAAATTGAGGGCGGTTTATCATTTGAATGATAAATCTCATCTCAATCTTTGAAAAAAGATCTTTTGAAGGAGCCCTTTGGAACTGGTCCTAACCCTCTGAGGTCTGTCTGGTTGAGGGTTTGGTTCCAAACCTTGGCAATAAAGCAAGTCGTAACCTTTGTGCTGGTGGAGGTCTTGCCTTCAATTTAAAAAAAAAAAAATCTATAAAGCACAGTAAAACAAAGCACAATAAAATGAGGGACGCCTGTACACTGAAAACTACAAATCGTTGCTGAAAATGTTGTAAAAGACACAAATAAATAGAAAGACATCCTGTGTTCATGGATTGGAAGATTTAATATTGTTAAGATGTCAGTACTGCACAAAGCAATCTACAAATTCAATGCCATCTCTATCAAAATCCCAATGGTATTTTTTGCAGAAATAGAAAAATCAATGTTAAAATTCATTTGGAATCTCAAGGGATAGCGAATAGCCAAATTAATCTTGAAAAGGAAGAACAAAGTTGGAGGTTTCACAAGTACTCATTTCAAAACTTATTACAGCCCTGACCAGTGTTCTCAGTGGTTAGAGAGTCGGCCCGTGCACTGAAGGGTCTCAGGTTTGACTCCCAGTCAAGGGCATGTACCTGGGTTGCAGGTTCAATTCCCGGTCCCGGTCAGGGCGTGTGTGGGAATCTCTCTCACTTGATGTTTCTCTCTCTCTCCCTCCCTTCTACGCTCTCTTAAAAAAACACACACACAATGGAAAAAATATCCTCAGGTGAGGATTAACAACAACAGCAACAACAAAAACCCCACACCTTATTACAAAGCTCCAATAACCAAAACAGTGTGAAACTGGCATAAAGACAGACAGACAGACCAATGAATATCATAGGAAGCCCAGAAATAAACCCTGACATAAAGCACCAAATGATTCTTAACAAGGGCGTCAAGGCCATTCTGTGGGAAAAGGCTGTCTTTTCAACAAATGATGTCAGGAAAACTGAGTATCCACAGGCAAAAGAGTAGTTCATTTTAGCTCAAAGTGAGAGCTAAAACTGTAAAACTCTTAGAAGAAAACATAGGAGAAAAGCTTCATGACACTGGATTTGACGATTCCTGGGATATGATACAAACATATAAGCAACTAAAGAAAAATGATATAAATTGAACTGTATCAAAAGTAAGAACCTCTGGGCATCAAAGAACGCAATCAGCAGAGTAAAAAAGACAATCTACGAAATGGGAGAAAATATTTGCAAAGTATATATCCGATAGGGGGTTATATCCAGAATATATAAAGAACTCCTACAACTCAACAACAACTACCTGGTTTTTAAATGGCAAAGGACTTAAATAGACACGTCTACAAAGAAGATATACACATGACCAGCAAGCACGTGAAAAGATGCTCACCATCCATCACCAACCATTAGGGAGAGGCAAGCCAAAGCCACCGTGGTACCGTCTCACACCCACTAAGATGGATGTTGTCAAAAACAAAGCAGCCCCGGCCAGGTGCTCCATTGGTTGGAGCGCTGTCCTGTACACCAGAACGGTTGCGGGTTCGATCCCCTGTCGGGGCACATGAGGGAGGCAGGCGATCGGTGTTTCTATCTCACATTGATGTTTCTTCCTCTCTCTCTTCCCCTCTCTAAAATCAATAAACATTCCTCGGGTGAGGATTTTTAAAATAATAATAAATAATAAAAGATTTAAAAAAAACAAAAATACCAAGTGTTGGTGAGGATGGGAAGACATGAAGCCTTTGTGCCCTGCTGGTGGGAATGTAAGATGGAGCGCCTGCTATGAAACGCGGTATGCTGGTTCCTCAAAAAATTAAAAATAGCCCTAACCGGTTTGGCTCAGTGGATAAAGCGTCGGCCTGCGGACTCAAGGGTTCCGGGTTCGATTCCAGTCAAGGGCATGTACCTGGGTTGCGGGCACGTACCCAGTAGGGCGTGTGCAGGAGGCAGCTGATCGATGTTTCTCTCTTATCGATGTTTCTAACTCTCTATCCCTCTCCCTTCCTCTCTGTAAAAAATCAATAAAATATATTTTTTTAAAAAATTAAAAATAGAACTACCACTTGCTCCTCAATCCCACCGGTGGGTACATATCCAAAGTATTGACAGCAGAGTCTCAAAGAGATATTGGTTCCCCCGTGTTCATAGAAGCTTATTCACAACAGTGAGACGGTAGAAGCAACCCACGTGTCCATCCGCAGATGATTAGACAAACAAAATGTAGTATGTGCATCCAGTGGAATATTCCTTCAAAGGTAAGGAAATTCTGACTGACACACGCTACAGCACGGATGACCCTTGGGGACATCGTGTTACGGGAGATAAGCCGGTCGCAAAATGGCAAATGCTGTGTGACCCCACTTCTCTGAGGTCCCCAGAGCAGGGACAGAAAGTAGTGTGGCTGGTCCAGCGGCCGTGGGTGGAGGAATGAGCAGTTAGTGTTCGATGGGTACAGAGTTTCAGTTTTGTCAGATGAGTTTGGGAGATGGATGGGGTGATGGTACCACCACAATGCGAATGTATGGAATACCACTGAGGCGGACACTTACAAATTGTCAAGATGGTACATGTTATGTGTATTTTATCACGACTTAAAGTAAAATTTCAAGTTAGTTCCATTTAAAAATGAAGCAATACAGCCCTGGCCGGTTTTTCCCAGTGGATAGAGCGTCGGCCTGCAGACCGAGGGGTCCCGGGTTCGATTTCAGTCAAGGGCACATGCCTGGGTCGCAGGCTCGACACCCCACTAGGGAGCATTCAGGAGGCGGCCGATCCATGATTCTCTCTCATCGATGATGTTTCTATCTCTCTCCCTCCCTCTCCCTTCCTCTCTGAAATCAATAAAAATATCTTAAAAATGAAGCGAGACAATGAATTATCATTTGCTGACTCTCACAATGGCAAAGATAAGTAAAATGAACAATTCTGTGCTACGCGTAGGGTTTAAGAAAAAAAGGAACTTCGTATCCGGTTATTGCTACAACTCTTCCTGAGGGGAGCGATCTGAAATATGTATCAAAGTGTCCAAAATGCAGCCCTTGACCCAACAAGGGCCTTAAGGTCCTGCACTTGGGTGCTGTCCACACTGGCTCTGAGCAAACTCCTGCAGCTGCAAGGAGCGACGCCCTGAGATGCACTGCCACCAGGGGGCGCTGCCACGCGGGCCCAGCCTTGGGCAGGACTGCAGGCCACTGTGGCTGCCACCAGAGGCTCAGGGATGGGTGGTGGGGCCCAGAGGCAGCCGCTGCAGGAGGGAGGGAGGAAAGGGAGCGGGTGCCGGCTGGGGTGTGGACTCCAGGAGGACAGATAAGCACACTATCGATCGATGACTTCTGTTTTTCCAAACCAGGGTGACAGGTGTTCACCGGGAAGGCAGGGCAGGGGCAGTTAGGGGAGGAATGAGACAGGAGGGCCAGCCTCTTGAGAAACAGGCAGGACAGCTGGTGGTTTCCGGGCCCTTTGGGGCTGGTGGCCATGAGCTGCCAGTTGTCCCTTGGCTGAGTGTGGCGTGGCCATCGGCAGCTCCCAACCGCACGTGGGGGAGCTGCAGCCACGCAGAGGGCTGTTTGGAGGACAGAATGCCGGGAAGCGCAGGACTGCACTCAATGTACTTTCGAGCTCATTCTTCCTTTCCCATCCATCCCATCATTCCCCCGAGCACAGAGATCCCCCGAGGGCACCTGTCCAGGGGTCACCGGGAAATCCCAGGCCCCCGCCTCTCCCCAGAGCCCCTCCCACCACGGCCTCCTTGCCTGTTGCAGAGATTGGCGTGGGCATCACCGGCTTCGGAGCCTTCTTCATCCTCCTTGGAGCGCTCCTGTACTTTGATTCCGTGCTCCTGGCCTTCGGAAACGTGAGTACCCTGCCCTGCAGACCCTCCCAACCTCCCTGAGGTCTCTACTGCTGGGGTCAGCCCTAAGTTCCTTCCCGTGCGGCCGTCCAGGGTCAGGTGCCAGCAGCCTGGGCCGGCAGGGTGGCTGGGGATGGACAGCAGGCCCCGCTGGGCAGGGAGTCCGAGGACCTGGATTCTCACGCCAGCTCTGGGTGAGGCCGGGAGGGGTGAGACACTGTCCCTCCACTGGACTCCCACCAGCTAGGGGCAGGGGGGGTCCCACGAACACACACGCCTGGAGACGGAGGCAGAGGTGCGGCAAAGTCACCATGAGACAAGCACATTCCATCTGAACAGGTGCTGGGGGGGAGGGGGGGTGGGAGGGGGCAGAGCGTACCCCGCTGGGGAGGATGAGAAGGGGTTTGGGAAGGAAAGTGTGTGGGGTTGGAGAAAGCGCTCTCAGGTGAACGGAACATGCTGGAAGGAATTGGACAGGAGCCTGGGCACTCTTCAGGGATCATTAGGAGCCACACTGAAGGCGGTGGCAGGGCCAGATGCCGGAGGGACCGGAGTGTCATCCCCCGGGCAGCGGAGCCCTGCCGGTCCCTCGAGGCTTTGGGTATGGCCGCCTAACCTATGCGACCAGGAAGAGAATCTCACTGTCTGTCCCACCTTCCCCGGGAGGGGTGATGAGAAATGCAGTAGATACAAAGCACTGGTTGGGACCCAAGAAAGTGGTTGAATTGGGTGAGAAATTAGAGAACGGCCCAGCTTCTCCTCATGCAGCCCCTGCCTCGGGCAGTTTGGTTTCCAAACAGCTCAGATTCCTCAAGGCTCCGTAATTTTGCTACAAGGCTGGGTCACCCTCTGAAACCGACCCTCCTTGAAGAGTTAGCAAGTCCTGCCCCATGCGTGATGGCGGCTCCAGGCCTTACTGCTGGCCCCCAGGGAGTGGAGGAGGCTGGCCCCTGACTCTGAGGGGGGAGGCTGGCCCTTAGCTCCAAGGGGGGAGGCTGGCCCTTAGCTCCAAGGGTGGAGGCTGGCCCTTAGCTCCAAGGGGGGAGGCTGGCCCTTAGCTCCAAGGGGGGGAGGCTGGCCCCTGGCTCTGAGGAGGGAGGCTGGCCCTTAGCTCCAAGGGACGGGGCTGCCTGAATTCACGCTCCTCTTCCTCCCCCGCCAGCTGCTGTTCCTGACCGGCCTGACCCTCATCATCGGCCTGAGGAAGACACTCTCCTTCTTCTTCCAGTGGCACAAGCTCAAGGGGACCAGCTTCTTCCTGGGGGGTGTGGCCGTTGTGCTCCTGCGCTGGCCCCTCCTGGGCATGTTTCTAGAAACCTATGGATTCTTTAGTCTCTTCCGGTGAGTGCAGGTCCCGTTCCCCCCCCCCCCCCCCCGCCATGGGCCCCCGGGCCTCTGAGTGGCTGAGAGCAGCCCACCAGGTGTGGGTGGCGCAGCCAGCGGGTGTGCAGAAGCTGGACCTGCCCTGCAAGAGATGGGAGCCATGGAAGGACTGGAAATGGGGAGAAGGCCCAGGCCAGTTTGGCTCAATGGATAGAGCGTCAGCCTGCGGACTGAAGGGTCCCGGGTTTGATTCCGGTCAAGGGCACATGCTGGGGCTGCAGGCTTGATCCCCAGTAGGGGGCGCACAGGAGGCAGCCGATCAATGATTCTCTCTCATCATTGATGTTTCCATCTCTCTCTCCCTTCCTCTCTGAAATCAATAAAAAAATATATTTTTAAAAATATATATATTTTATTGATTTTTTACAGAGAGGAAGGGAGAAGGAGAGTGATAGAGAGTTAGAAACATCGATGAAAGAGAAACATCAATTCAGCTGCCTCCTGCACACCCCCCACTGGGGATGTGCCCGCAACCAAGGTACATGCCCTTGACCAGAATCGAACCCGGGACCCTTTCAGTCTGCAGGCTGATGCTCTATCCACTGAGCCAAACCGGTCAGGGCAATAAAAATATATTTTAAAAAATAAAAACGGGGAGGGGCATGGGACAGACACTTGGAAAGGCCCCTCTAACAGTAGGTTGAAGGATATATTGACGTGACTGGCACACACTGAGCACCTGCTGTGGGCCCAGCACTGTGCCTGCCACCAGGGAGGACCCGCGGGGCTCACTCTCGAGTTGAATGACCGCGGGGGGAGGAAGGGCAGTGAGCTGACGTTTGCTAGGCCCCAGACATGCGCCATCATAACCTCGCTTTGTCTCCTCCACCGCCCGTCCTGGGCCGTTCCCTGCAGATGAGGGAGCCAGCACTCAGAGAGGCTGCCCCTGCCCGGCCCCACAGGCAGTGTGCCGAGGATCTGACCTTGACCCCCGCACCCCCACCCCGCCCCTGGCCCCTGGCTCCACACCCCTCGGCCTGTCGGTGCCAGCTGGGCCTGGTGAAAGGCTGGGCGGGACTCAGTGGAGATGTGGAGCCACTGTCAGGGCCAGAGTGTGTCCCTCCGGAAGCAGGACCTGGGACAGGCCTTGAGGGATGGGCAGGGGCTGAGAGAAGACTGGAGGGCACCGGGCAGGGAGGAAAGGGTCCTGGGGAAGGTGGGCTGGCAGGACAGACACCCCGTGTCCCTGTGACGCTGTGGAGAGAGCAGAGGTGGGATGGGGTGATGGGGGCTGGAAGAATCATGGTCCATGGAATCATGGGAAGGGGCGAGGTCAGGAGCCCCAGCATTCCCACAGGAACCCTCATTTGCTCAGTGGCCTTGAAAGCACCCTGATCAGCCTGGATGCCCCGACCTCACAAAGGTCATGTAGCATGGCCTCGAGAAATAAATTTTCTCCCACATGTTCTGCCACCCATGTAGCTGATATTCGGTCATTTGCTCAGAGTCAAATATATAAGAGGCACCTGCTCTGTGCCCAGTGCGTGGCCGGGTCTGGGGACATGTGTTAGACAGGGAGGCGCCTCCTGAGGACTCGCAGGGCGTAGGGAAGACACATGCATCCTGACAACTAGCATTCAGACCACTTACCGAGAGCTGGGGACTGTGAGCAGGGCCCCTGCAGACTCAGTCGTTCAAACCCAGAGTCACCTGGACAAAGACACCTCCCAGCAGCATTGCCAGGAACTCGGAGCGGTGAGAGACCTCGGGGGGCCGGGGGACCGCAGGAATTTCCGCCCAAGAAAAGGAAAAATTCAGGCAGAATTCAAATGTCTGATCGCGTGCCCGCTCCGCTGCACACAGGGGCTCCCTTCCCAGGTCAGCCTCGGTGCCTCCAAGCCCCTGTGCCCCAGCCAGGCCGCGTAGGGTGAGAGCGGGAGGAGGCTGAGGCGGGAGGGAGAGCAGACACGGCACAGCCCCCACCACCGGCCCTGCCTGGAGCCCAGGGGACCTGCAGCAGGTGGTGACGCCCAGTCTGGGGAGAGGGCAGCGACAATAACACAAACAAGCATTTCCTGAGCATCTCTGCGTGTAAGGCCCTCGGACATAGGTACTATTATCAACCCCGTTTTACAGCTGGAAACAGACCCAGAGAACGTGAGGACTCTGCCCTGGGCTCGCACAGTGCTAGCGAGTGGCAGGGCCAAGATGGGCTCAAAAGGAACCTGACCCAGGGACTTGGTTCTTTTCCTTTTTAATATATTTTATTGACTTTAGAGAGGAAGGGAAAGGGAGAGAGAGACAGAAACATCCACAATGAGACAGAATCATTGCTTGGCTGCCTCCTGAATATCCCACACTGGGATCAAGCCCCCAACCCAGGCATGTGCCCTGACTGGGAATCGAACCATGACCTCCTCAAAGCTCAACCACTGAGCCACACCAGCTGTGCTGGGACTTCATTCTTAACGATTCCACTTGGCTGCCTCTAAAACACTGGGGGGCTGGAGGCGGGGACCAAGCCTGCCCCCAGTGCTAGGGGCCCACTCTCTTGGGAGCCAAAGTTGGAGCCTATCTGTGGACCTCAGTCTTGCTACCCTCTACCACCTCCTCCCCGCCAGGCCATCACTGACCCCTCCCTCCCCCCTCTGTTCCTAGGGGCTTTTTCCCTGTGGCCTTTGGCTTCCTGGGCAATGCCTTTAACATTCCCTTCCTGAGTGAGGTAAGTGCCTCGTGCATGTGGCTTAGTGGTGGGGCCCGGGGGTGGCGGGAGCACACGGAGTGGGGAAAACTGCTGCCCCAGGTACAGCGGACCCGCCCCATCTCCCCCTGCACTCCCTTCCCCAGGCTGGCCTGCCTCCGCTCTCTTCCCCGCCCTGCTCCTTCTCCATTTGACAAAGGCCCTTGAGCAGCTGTGCCTAAGGCAGTGGTCGGCAAACTGTGGCTCTCGAGCCACATGCGGCTCTTTGGCCCCTTGAGTGTGGCCACGAAGTTTCAATCGCACTGTACGTGCGCGCCCGCACGTGGTATTTTGTGGAAGAGCCACACTCAAGGAGTCGCAGTTTGCCGACCACTGGCGTAAGGAATAGGGATAGAGGAAGGAATAGGAATAGAGGAAGGAATGGGGATAAGGGAAGGAATGGGGATAGAGGAGGGATGGGGATGGAGGAGGGATGGGGATGGAGGAGGGATGGGGATGGAGGAGGGATGGGGATGGAGGAGGGATGGGGATGGAGGAGGGATGGGGATGGAGGAGGGAAGGGGATGGGGATGGGGATGGGGATGGGAATGGGGATGGAGGATGGTGGCTGTTAATAGCTCTTGATTATAGCCAAAGAAACAGACACTGAGAGAGTCTAGGGGACCCAGCCACAAAGTGCCAGAGCTTTCTGGGGAGCTGGCTGAGTCTGGGCCCCGGACTTGGAGAGGATGTGTGACAGCTAACGACAGCAGGGAAAGCTGTGGAAGATTCTGTCCTCTCCTTGGGCAGGCGTGGGCAGTGGTCCCCAGTGCACCCCCCGCCCGCCCCCCCCCCCCCCGGCCCTCACTCTTTCTCGGAAGCATCTGACACAATATGGGCTCTCTGAGAAGCCCAGCGAGGCCCTTCAGCCAGCTCCCAGCCCACCCGCCAGCTGGGCACATCCCTGCAACCCCCTCTCCCTGTCTGCGCTTGGCATAGCTCCCACCTCAAGGCCAGCTCCCTAATAACCCTGATATTGAGTCTGCTCTCCACCCTTTGTCTGGAGTAATGATTCTCGGTTCCCACAGCTGTACCGGAGGTTTCAAGGCAGCAGCTCAATGGTCTGAGCAGCAGAGATGAGCTCCTTGAACTTGGACCGTTGGTTGAGGGGGCTGGAAAGGAAATGGGGCCACCCTCTCGGGCCCCCCTCCTGCACTGACTCACCTACCCCGCACACCCGGGCCTCTCCGAGTCCAGAAGGAAGGATGGCTCCAAGTGACTGACCTCGGATTCCCAAGCCAACGCCAGAGGCCATGGGCATTGTTGGGAGCAGAGCTCCAGGGCCCCACAGAGCTCGGGCTGGGGCTGGGACCACACCCCGCTCTGTAGGGGAGGAAAAGCAAAGATTAAATCCCACGCTGTGTGTGTCTGACACTCGAAGTCAGTGTCTCGGGCCTGTTAAGTCATCTCCTGACTCGGGGCATCTCAATCTATACAGCAAAGGGCAGGCCTGCTCTCAGCGGCTCATTTGCACCCTGAGGAGTGGCAATGTGTGTGTAAGCCCCTTTCGAAGAAGGCATTAGACAAGTGACGGGTAGAAATCCTGGCCTGGCAGGAAGTGCTTCTCGGCCGGCCGTAGGTGGATGTTTGCTCGGGACACCCCCCCAGGCGGAGCCTGTGCTGGGAGAGCTTCCTGTCTGCGGGTAGAGACAGCCTCCACCTTCGGACAGCCCTAGTCTGACAGAAGGAAGAGGCTCTGTCCCAAGAGCCCCTGGTCCAAGGATAAAGACCATGACTGCAGGCCCAAGGACGAGACCAGAGTTCCCCGCAATGTATGTATAGGGTGTCCCCCACAATGTGTACACACTTGAGCAGCTGATAGCCATCAATGCAAATGAACTGTATTTTAACAAACACTGCCTTCGTGGTTACTCACAGTGTGTGTACCCATTTGTGGGGACACCTGCACTTAGTAAATGTCTTTGAGGGCCCTCTGTGTCTGTACTGAGCATAAGTGGGTGCTGAGGGGGCAAAGGGAGGGGGGTCTGTCCCTGCTTCCACGGGGGAGCACAGCAGTTACAAATGCCATCATCACGGTCCCAAGCCCCGAAGGCGGGTCCTGAGAGCAGCGCCTTCTGATTCACTGTTGCCTGATAGTCACTTCTCACCTTCCCATGGCACTTCCCAGGCCCGGCCATCTTAGAGCGACCATGTGTTCTGCACCCTTAGCTGCCTACAGGTGTTACCCATCTGACAGAGTTAAATCCATCCCAGAACCCTGAGCTGAGCGAGTGCTCAGTCACTGTTTGGGGAAAAGAGGAAGGGAGAGAGGGAGGGGAAATGAAGGACCCCCCTCCCTGTGCCCAGTTGCAGATTACAGCCCAGGAGGGAACCCCAAGGCCAGCTGGCAGATCTGGGAGCACTCGGGGAACTGGAACCCCTGGTGCCACTGTGCCCGTCTCCCGCCCTCCTGCCTTCCATGCTGCCCACTCCACGCTGGGCGTGCCACCCTGGGCGTGTGCGTGGCTCTTGTCTGGAGGGGGAACTCTTCATGCTGACCCCCCACCACACACCTCCTCACACAGGCCACTTCCACCGTGATCAGCGCACAGGGTCTCCTGGTGAGGGGTCTGGGAGGAGCAGGAGGAGGATGGGAGAGGGAATCAGAAGGCCGGCCTTGGAGGCTCTGGAGAGGGCGGGGGAGGCTGATTCTAGTCGTGACTGCCAGGGGGCGGGAGGCAGCAGTCTGCTCTCTAGGGGGGTCTGCGGAGGAGGGAGAGGGAGACAAGGGGGCCAGTGCCTGGAAGACGTCACCTGGGCTTGATAAAAGGGGTGGGGATGTGGTCAGGGTGCCGGCAAGAGCGAGCCCAGCTCCCCTCCCCGCTGGTGTTCACCCTCCAGACACCCTGCGGAGCTCCCACCCACCCGGACCCAGGACACGGAGCCAGGTAGGTGCGCTGGGCATCCAAGCTGGGGGAGGGGTCTGCCCGGGCTCAGGGAGCAGGAACTCAGTTCCAAGACTGACTGACTGATGTGTCCGGGGCAGGGGAAGTGGGGCTGATGGGGCCAGATTATGGGTGGATGCTTTGATTGGCACTTTATTTGTGAGGCCCGGACCCTCTCAAGGACTCCTCTTTGGGCAGGAATAGTCGCAATTCGTTGTAATTACTGCGTGAACTATGTGGCTGGGATTGGGGGCCACGGGAGCATTTAGGGGGAAGCTGGGGAGCCCCTCAGGGCGCATGGGCTCAACAGGGCTCCTCTGAGCGCCTTCTCCAACTTATGGATGGCAAATACAAACCCAGCCAAAGAGCCTCTCGCACTGCTAGGAGCGTCCCCCCAGGAAGGAAGCCCCCCCACTTCAGAAGCTTCCCAGCCAAGCCTGGGATTTCTGCTACTCACTAGGCTCAAAAGCGGGTGGGGGAGCCACAAAACGTACTCCCAGAGGCCAGCCGCCGTGGGCCCTTGGAAGCTGACGGGTTTTTTCCAAGCAATTCATTTCACGTGTGTGAAGAGTTGGGCGAAGGTGTGTGTGTGTGTGTGTGTGTGTGTGTGTGTGTGTGTGTGTGTGTGTGTGTGAATGAGCAGCAGGAAACGCAGAACTCTCACTTGGCACCAAGGCAAGTGCTGGTAGGAGGCGGTGGGGAGAGGCCAGGGGAGCACACAGCCTGCCCACTCCTCCCTCCCTCCCTCCCTCCCCACCCTGCTCCTGCAGAGCAGCCAGAAGGCTCCATCTGAAATGCAAGTCTCCACACATTCCTCTCTGTCTCAGACCCTCCCCTCTGGGGTGAAGCCTCTGGTGGCCCTTCCTCAGACTCCCCGCTTTCTCTCTCCCCAGCAGAGCCCCCCTCCTGGCAGGCATCTGCCTGACTCACTCAGAAACTCAGCTCAGGTGCCGCCCCCTGCAGAAACCCGGCTGGACCCTCCAGGCCTGGCTCCCTTAGGCCCCCAAAGACCCCTTTATACTGACACACCTTCAGCCTATCATTCACCGTGTTGTTTTTAAATGGTCTGCTTAGGACTCGGTTTCTTGTCTGAGGACTCCGGGTTCTTGAGATGGGGGTTGAGGGCTTGCAGCAACTCTGTGTCTTAGCACCAGTGCACCCTAGCCCCTGTGTCATGGCACCTGTGCACCCTAGCCCCTGTGTCATAGCACTGTGCACCCTAGCCCCTGTGTCATAGCACTGTGCACCCTAGCCCCTGTGTCTTAGCACCAGTGCACCTAGCAACTAACACAGCACCCAGTCCGTACTCAAGAAATGATTTCCAAAATAACCTGGACCCTGTGCACCCACAGCCTGAAGCCACACAAAAATGGTTTCACACTCGTCTCTCTAATGAATGGATCCTGCATCTACTCCCCGCCCTTTAAGGCAGGTGCAGAAGGCCATGGTCTGGGCTCCACAGAATCAGAGTCTGCAAGTGTAAGTGGCCATCTGTGGGGACATTCGCTGGCCAGTCGGACCCAGTGGTCCTGTTTTACAGGTGGAGCACTACGGCCAGAGATGGGGGGGACTTGCTCCTGTCTCGTGGGGAGGGCGGGCATAGCTGGGGCCAGATCCAAGGACCTCGGATCCCATTTCAGGATTCTTCCCCTTCACACCATGCCTGGGTCCTGGAGGGAGCAGGGGGAATGGGGAGTGGGGGGTGAACAGAGGGATTGGTGGGGCCGGTGGGCACACGGGGGCCCCTCACTCCACCCCAGAGTGGCTCGGGGCCTTAGCTCTGGCATCCACACCCTTTTGGCTCCACCTGCAGCTCTACTGCCTCCTCACTAGTTTGTTTTTAATCATGTTTGCTGGACCACCTCCAAGTGTCTGATGACTTTTTCAAAGAGAAATTCGACTTGGGAGCTGGAGGAGATGGGAGGGGGCAGGAGAGGGTAAAGGGAACGAGGTTGGAGTGAGGGTCAGAGTGAGTACACAGCTCCCATCCCAACAGCCAACGTTCTGAGGTCAGTTCCATGCCTACCCCCTCAAAGGTGACAGAACATGAAATGAGACCCGCGACCTGACAAGTCAGGAGAAGGCTTTTCTCCTCCCTGAATGCGAGGCAGTAAGACCACTGAATGGCGGTCTTCGGGCTGTCAAAGGCCACGAGAGAGCAAGACGGCTGACTGCCTTCCCTCCTCGTTCATGAAAAAGGGAAAGAATTCCGTTTCTATGACAGCAGGAGGGAGATGGGCCAGGTCTGAGCAGGCACGTGCTAACGGGGAGACTGGAGCACGGAGAGTCTGGGTTTATGCAGAGCTCAGCATGGAGGGAAGTGCCAGGCTCCAGGGAGAAGGTCTGCACCTCCGTGTCTCCTGTGAGGTGGAACTCCTTGGCCCTCTTCACTTCACCCCTCCCTGCTCACTCCTGCACAGCATCCTCACCCCTCATTTCTCCAACATTTCTCTGGAGCAAACCTGAGATTCTGGCCACTTTCCAACCTGAGCCGCCCTGCCCCTCCCACCAACAGGGATCTTTCCTGCCTTCTCCTCCGGGAAGCCCTCCCTGATGACCCTCACCTAGAATGAGTTCCGCTCTGACTGTCCTGTGCCAGTGGTGTCAGGCCCATGTGCATGACATGTCTGTTTGGACTCAGCCCTCCAGTGGGGTCTCCAAGGGCAGAGGCTGTCTCCTCCCTTCACACTGGCTCTGCCCCGGCGCCCAGCCCAGACCTGGGCCTGACCTCGTCCCTCCTCCCTCTCTCTGTCTCGGCCTCAGGGCACCTCTAGGGCCTGCACTTCTCACCAGGATGAACCTACTGGTTTCTTGGCAGCTGACGCTTTTCCTCTGTGCCATCTCCTTCAGGGACACCTTAGAGAAGGTGGCGCCCGTGGAGAACCCTAGAGCCACAGGTACGCATTGTCTGGGGGAAAGGCTGGTTGCAAAATGAGACTTGCCACACTTTTCAGATGATGGGAAGATCTGCTGGGAAGGAATTTACTATGCAAGTTTCTTCCATCAGAGACTCCAGTCCCTTGTTGGGGACTTTGGGGGGAGCGGGGGGAAGAACCTAAACAAAAGGACAAATCCTGTCAACCTTATGGATTAGCTATGGTACCGATGAGCTGGAGAAACTGAGGCCCAAAGATGTAAAGACGCCTCCCAAACACCTCAGAAGGCCAGCAGGTGCGGAGCTCCCTGAGGGGGCGTCTCTGAGCGGCACGAGTCGGGACTTGTGGTGTAACACTGCTTGGTTCAGCTTTCTGGGCAAGCCAGGACTGCGGCTTAGCCTCTCTGGACCGAAGTTCCTCTGGCTACGGGACTCGGAGCATGGAGCGTACCTACACATGCGCTGTCACTGTGCCCCTGAACTATCCCAGCCCTGGGAGAACGCAGCCCCCAGTGTCCTTTGCCAGGAGTGTGTTCCCTCCTGGGGTCAGATGTCCTTTCTGGGTAAAAATAACCTCACCACTGCCCCAGAGGCAGTGAGTTTGTTGGCTGTTTTGGGGGAAAGACTTTAGGTGAGGCCACAAAAGGTCGCCTGAGAAGTGATTCTACTGGTGGGATAGCAGGTGTGACGGGAAGGAAGCCTTCGGCCCTTCCCACCTTAGCCAGGCCCTGGGACCTCCTAGGACAGTGGTTGGCAAACTGCGGCTCGCGAGCCACATGCGGCTCTTTGGCCCCTTGAGTGTGGCTCTTCCTAAGCCTTAGGAGTACCCTAATTAAGTTGATAACAATGTACCTACCTATATAGTTTCAGTTTAAAAAATTTGGCCCTCAAAAGAAATTTCAATCGTTGTACTGTTGATATTTGGCTCTGTTGACTAAGGAGTTTGCCAACCACTGTCCTAGGAAGATGGTCACTAATTCTGGACATGCCCACCTCCTCCAAGGTCCGCCAGGGCTTTGAGGAGTGGGCCCCAAAGCCTAGCAGCGCCCGCCCACTCACACACCAGGCCTCATTCCCACACCTCTCGCCGCGATTAGCTGGAGTCACTGTGTACTCAGGGCTAGTTGCACGATTGCATGTGAAGGGCCTTGTCCACCCTCAGGATGAAGAGGAGAGGTCACACCCACCTTGGGGCGGTGACCCAGATGAGTTTCTGTTTTCGCGAAGCCCTTGCATAGCTTACTTAGGGAGCTACAGTTACTGGGGACTGTGGGGGCACATGGCCTTAGCTCCACTTTCTTGATTTCTGAAGCTACAAGCTTTTCATTCGCTTTTCAACCGTTAACAAACACTTACTGAGGCCCTGTTTCAAGCGCCCTGAGAGGTGAGAAGACTGAGGAGGGCCCCCACCTGCCTCGAGGACTCCCAGGCCATCTGGGGAGCCGGATGCAGAAACCCAACACAGGACCCGGCCGCGAGCCAAGCCGAACCTCCAGCAAACACCTCAGTTCTCTATTTCCAGGCCCCACCCTGTTTGGTTCCTAAAATTTAGAAGTGATTTCACATGACACGTATTGCAGATAATTCTGGAAAACATTTGAAATCAACGCTATGTTGAAAGAGGGGGGAACCAATGGCCTAACCGCCACGCTCAGACGCTGGTGCTCCCAGCTGCCCTTGAGCTCTGAGCTTCCTGGCGGCCAAGGAACAAAGGGAAAGACTAAGGTGGTCTGCTAGAGGGTGTTGGAGAGGTTCGCCTGGCCTCACGCTGTCTCTCCCTGTGGCTCTGTCCTAGACCAGCAGCTCGGCCCCCTGTCTCTGGGGGTCGCCAGGGAGCAGAGCGGGCGGTGCGCAGCCCCTGCGAGCGCGGAGGGGTCCAGGCCAGCCCTGGGCCAGCCGAGCAGCCACCGGATCCCTCCCCCGCCGCCGGGAAAGGCGCTGGTGCGGCGGGAGAAGGGCCTGTCTGCCTTCAACTGGAACTCCTTTGGCCTGCGCTATGGCCGGCGGCAGGCAGGTGGGCCGCGCCGCCGGGCGGCGCCCAGGGACCAGGGACATCCAGCCGCGGACTGACCCGAGCTCTGGGCACGCGGGGCCGGAGCGGGGCCGGAGCGGGGCCGGAGCGGGGCCGGGCAATGGGAGGAGGGCGCCTGGGGCTTCTGTCCTGAATCAATAAAGGAAACGCTGCCAACTCATCCGGGTGCGATTGATTTGGGGCTAATTTTTGCAACGCGTTCACCTTCTCTCCTCAATTGGCTCTTCAGCTGGTTCTAAGCCGGCTTTACTGTTAGCAAGGGCAGTGCTTTCCAAACTAGAGGCGGGGAGGGGCCGCGTTGCTCCCCCGCACACACCCAGAGCAATGCTTCTAGTGCGTGCACACGTCGCGCCCCCCCCCCCCAAAAAGAGTGAAAATTTAAAAAATAACTACAGAGAAGTCCACGTCGGATGCGCCTGGGTGCTTTAGCACATTTCTGGCCCAGAAGAAAGAGCCATCTATGAGCCGGTAAGCAGGCCTTCGCCACAAACCACATCTGCAGACGCCCTGACCTTGGACTTCCCAGAACTATGAGAAAGCAGTGTTTGCTGTTTAGGTCCCCGGACGAAGGACACGTCCGGCTCCATAAGCAGCAGCTCATACCTTCTTGGGTAGGAAGAACGCAAAACTGGTGGCCCGGCCAGATATTGACTGGGGTTTGGGAAACTGAGGCTGGTCCCCGGTCAGGAAGCAGCTGCAGTTGGAAGAAAGGGTGTCTATGTGGTAGACAAGGCCTGCCTCCCAAAGACCCAACAACATCCTTGTTGACATAATCCCGAGGCTCAAAGCGACCCCCTAGCTGCCCCAGGCCAGTTCCTGCAGCTTCCCTGGAGAGCCCTGGGCAGATCCGGACCCTGTGGGTGTAAAAGGTCTGGTCCTTGGATGGGGAACTACATCCTGGGAGAGGCTGCCCAAACTCCTCCGCCTGCCAACCAGCTAGACAAAGGTGCGGTGGCAGCAGCAATGGCTTCATCAGAAGGGACCAGAGAGCCAGCCCCCAAATTGTGGGCCCAGAGACCAATCCAGACACCATTTCACGTGGGCAGCTGGGCGACCATCACAAGGCCATCCCCATAGCTCGTTTATCGACTGTGCTTGTGGGAAACAGCTCTCCCTGGCAGCGCCCCCGGTGCCGCCCCAAAACCCCAGTCCCAAGCTGGGACTGTCACCCTTCCAGTGAAGACCTACATCTTGTTCTGTTGGCACAGCCAGCCCCATCTGACTCAGGAGACCTCCCTGGGTGGGGGCTGTCTTACCCAGGCCAGGGCACCCTGCCGCCCTGCTGCAGGGGCACTGTGGGCCCAGCTTCCTCCCCGGGCAGCCCACTCTGCTCCCAGGAGGCCCTTGAAGCCAAGGGGAGCCCCTTGAAGACGTTGCCTGCAAGGTGTTCGGCCCGGGGAACAGTCACGGGCTCGCTCAGAGCTGTCTCCTCCTGTGTCTGTGGGCAGAGTCTGACCATGGGAGGAGGGGGCTGGTATGCCAGGCTCAAGTGTCCAGGTCAGCCGTGGGCAAACTACGGCCCGCGGGCCGGATCCGGCCCGTTTGAAATGAATAAAACGAAAAAAAAAAAAAGACCGTACCCTTTTATGTCATGATGTTTACTTTGAATTTATATTAGTTCACACAAACACTCCATCCATGCTTTTGTTCCGGCCCTCCGGTCCAGTTTAAGAACCCATTGTGGCCCTCGAGTCAAAAAGTTTGCCCACCCCTGGTCCAGGAGCTGCAAGTCCCAGAGCCCGCTGCGTCTTGGCCAGGGAATCACGGCAGCCATCTCGGAGTTTATATTCTTGGAGTGGGGGTGGGGTGGGGGGAGGGGAAGGAAGAAGGGATGATTTTGAACAGCGACCCCCCCGAAATCAAATTTCTATAGAAATTCCTGAACGGTGTCCTCTTCATTCTTAGACTTCTCTCACTGTGAGTGGGTGACAGACATTTTGCAGCGGGGCTCGGGCCTCAGCCCACAAGCCGAGTAGCCCTCCTCTAGGCCAGAGGGACGCAGGCGGCTTAGGTGCCCTTTCCTCTCCTGGGCAGCTTTCAGGAAGTTGGGCAGCTTGATCCGGAAGATGATGCCAACCACTGCCCCGTCCACCGAGGCTTAACTCTCAGCCCAGCCCCTCAGTTAGACCTGCGCTGGGTGCGCAGCCCCAAGGCCCTGAACCCCACCCCGTGTACCAGGGGTGTCAACAGGGAGCCGCGCCATCCACCCTCCTCTCCCCAGGGAGCCCTGGATGGGTCAAGTACTTCACACATGTCATTCGCCCTGCATCCTAGCCTCCCAGGGAGCTGCGCAAGGCTTCCCCGTTGTCACAGGTGAGAAAGATAAGGTATCAGGACGATAAATAACTCACTCGATGCGCACAGCCAATGAGAGAGCAGCCTAATCAGGCTCCTGCCCCCAGAGCTGGCTCCCCCACTGCCCTGTCCAGCCTCTCCGAGGTGGCAGTCTCCCTCTCAGCCGGGGTGGACATCAGGAAAGGTCAGTCTGGCCTGTGGGGACAATTTGGGGGGCCCCATAGCTGGGGAGTTGAATTTCTGTGAACCTCATGCACAGCATGGCGTGACAGGGGTGCTGTTTTTATTTGGAAAGACATGACATCTCCTCAAACAGCCCAGGGTGTCTCTACCTCCAGGAGAGGAATCAGAAACCCACCCCCCATTTGTTGAGGGCGTTATTCTCCTGCTCCCTGGACCAGTCTTTCCCTGATGAAGACTGTGTGGTGGGAAGAGGCTGGTCATCTCTGAAATCTACTCTGAGACAGCCTCATTCTACAGCAGGCCCTGCGACCCCTCGAACCCTTCCTCAGAGCCTGGGTTTAGGCAGATGGGGGGTGGGGGGAGGGCGTTGCTTTGGGGCCACGACAGGGAAGCATGTTCTCTGGTGTAAGCAGCACACTGGGTATGTGAGAGGGTAAATATGTGTGCATGTGCATAGACGTGTGTCTGGGTGACCCGGGGTGTGAGGTGGGCCTTTCTAACTACACTGCAACCCAAGTGCCCCAAGATGTCCATTCGACTGACTCAGCAGGTAGCGGGAGGAGAGCGGGCTCTGCCTGCCCCTGCTCCTCGTCCCGGGACTGCTGCCTGTGGACTCCGGGCGTTGTAGCTCTTGGCCCCGTGTCTTGGGAAGAGATCTTTGATTTCATGAGGCTCCCAGCTTGGCTCTGAATCTGCGGCCCAGATTGGAAGGGGTGCAGGGCAGGCTGGAGGCTGGGAGGGGCTGTAAACATTGCTGGCACCAGGGACTTTCTGGGAGGCTCAAAGGGCTGGGGCACCCAGAGCCACAAAACCTGGAGCGAGGGCTGCCTGGGGGCACTCAAGCCCACTCCTTTCTGAGATCTCTGGACAGAAAGCCAGGAAGGCCTGGGCTTCCCTCACTGGGGGGAGGAGATGTGGAAGGGCCTCTCTCCCGGTTTCCACCACGTTGGGTAGGTCTGTTATCATGGGAGGGGCTGGTCTCCTGTCCCTATGCAAAGGAACATGGTAGGTGGGGCTGGGAGGGAGGCAGGAAGATGTCTGCTTTGATGATCGCTCTTTTTTAAAATATATTTATTTCTTTATTGATTTCAGAGAGGAAAAGAGAAGGAGAGAGAGATAGAAACATCAATGATGAGAGAGAATCATTGATCGGCTGCCTCCCGCACCCCTCCCCACCCCCCCACTGGGGATCGAGCCACAACCCAGGCATGTGCCCTTGGCTAGAATCGAACCCGGGACCCTTCAGTCCGCAGGCTGATGCTCTATCCACTGAGCCAAGCCGGCTAGAGTGCTTCGAGTATCACCCTTAATAAAATGACGAGCAGTGTTTGCGTCCCGGCGGTGTGCCCAGCACAGGGCTACTCCATTGCATCCTCTCAGCGGGGGCACTGTTATTCCCGTTGTGCAGAAGAGAAAGCTGAGGCTCCAAGAAGCTGGGCGGCGTGCCCCGGGTCACGCAGCGGGAAAGTTAGAGCGCGGGGAGTCACACTCACCTTCCGACTGCGCCTAACGGTCTTCCTCTCCTTCCCCACGCCCGCAGCGGGCAGCGCTCACGCTCTCCCTGCGTGTTTTGGGCTGGGAAGCAGGACTGGCAGCCGGAGAACTCCATCCTTCCCTCCCCAGACTTTTTTTTTTTTTTAATATATTTTTATTGGTTTCAGAGAGGAAGGGAGAGGGAGAGAGAGAGAGAGATAGAAACAACAATCATGAGAGAGAATCATTGATCAGCTGCCTCCTGCACGCCCCCCATTGGGGATCAAGCCGGCAACCTGGGCATGTGCCCTTGACTGGAATCGAACCCGGGACCCTTCAGTCCATAGGCAGACGCTCTATCCACTGAGCCGAGCCAGCCAGGGCCCCAGACTTCTTTCATGACAATGCAGGCAAAGTCCCCAATCCCCCAGAGCAGGCCGCCTCCTCTCACCCCCTGCCAGGGCCAGGCATCTGCATGTGGATCCTGTCTCCCTCCTCCTCTCTCTGGAAGCAACTTCCCCACGTCCAGACCTGACAGAAGTCAAGGCCAAGAAGCGCCAGCACGCCCTCCCCACCCGGTGCCTTCTTCCATTTTAAAGGCACCAGAGCCCAACAACTCCCATGCTTGGCTCAGAGCAGAGAGCCTGGGGCAGGAGTGGGCTTTGATTGTTGAAAGAGCCAGGACATACCAGCCCCCACTTTCCTCACCTCCTCAGGTTTCACTGCCTATCCACCGGGCAGAGCTATTGGTTTTTTATTTTTTATTTATTTTTAATTTTAGTTCGTTGAGATCTTTTAATATATTTTATTGATTTTTTACAGAGAGGAAGGGAGAGGAATAGAGAGTTAGAAACATCGATGAGAGAGAAACATCGATCAGCTGCCTCCTGCACACCCCCTACTGGGGATGTGCCCGCAACCAAGGTACATGCCCTTGACCGGAATCGAACCTGGGACCCTCCAGTCCGCAGGCTGACGCTCCATCCACTGAGCCAAACCGGTTAGGGCTCTATTGGTTTTTAAAGCTAGAGCATTTATTTTTCTGATAAAAAATGATAGAGTCTGGCCGGTGTGGCTCAGTGGTTGA